CCCCCCCTCCCCCCAACCCCCCCGCCCAAAAAAAATAAATAAATAAAAAAATGGCGAGGCGCCTCATAATGAATTACACGTACACGATTAACACCACAGCGTGATTGATGGAGTGCCCAAAACGGGTGCCTTATTCCGGAGGGACGCCCATAATGACATGATTGGTGAGGCGCCTTATAATGACAATATATGATTGTCGGGCCGCACATAATGCATAATGCCGAGTGAGATTGACTGGGCGCCCTCGACTTGATCAATAGGGCGCCCAAAACGGCATGATTGGTGGAGTGCCTCATTCCTGAGGGGCACCCATAATGCTGAGATTGGTGGGTCGCCTACGACGAGATCATGGGGGCCCATCCAAGAATAAGACCGCATACCATAAGAAAGCCAACTGGAGATTGTAGGAACGTTTCAAGATCACATTCGCGAAGGGGGTGAGATTGATTCAAGCCCATAATGCTGAGATTGGTGGGTCGCCTACGACGAGATCATAGGGGCCCATCCAAGAATAAGACCGCATACCATAAGAAAGCCAACTGGAGATTGTAGGAACGTTTCAAGATCACATTCGCGAAGGGGGTGAGATTGATTCAAACCCTCACCGGGCGTGATAATCTTCACAATTCAAACAAATCGCACTCTAACGCGATTCCGAACTTTTCGTTTCTCATAAATTATTATAGGTACGCTAAAGTCGTATCCCTTCCTCCAATTTTTATAATGTTCATATCAAAATATCATAATACGCCAATATTGAAATTTTCCGTCATTTTCATAGTTCCTCTCCTCGGGTGCAAACCCTATTTTCCAAAATTTTCTGGGGTGAGAGCAGCCTAGACCCTTCTTTGAAGGGAGGCGCTTCCATGGTACCGTTCGCCGTTGACCGTCAAGTGTAGGTACATCGGCGCTCCCAGAAGCCCCATCGGCGCCCCCAGAGGCCCTTGCCCCCTGCCCCTCAACATTTTTGGGCTAGCTACGGGCCTGTGCATATTTATCGATGCCACTGTTTATTCAGTAAAACCTCATAACCAAACGTAATTTTTCGTTCAATATGAATCAGCAATCAAAACAACCGTTCTGTATGAATTAGGTATTATTACATCAATCAAAACAACTGTTTAGAAATGGTAACGATATCAAATAGGACTCGACATTTACAAACGTTTATCTAAGTCCATATAGTGTAAGGCTTTTGCTAGAATTTTTGCTCTTGAAATTAATAACGGTATTATATTGTATTAATTAATATCTTTGGCAAGTTATTAGATTCACATATATGTATTATGTACTTAAGTTACAATTTCATATTTTCTAAGAAAGTCAAAACATAATTATTTCTATGTCTTTTGCTCAATATTTTGTCACTTTATACGATAATAGGTTATCTTTCCCACACTTAAAAATCTTCACACCGGAAATCATAACACAATTACCTCCCAATTACCTCCCTTGTTTTCCTATTCCCCACCATGGAATAGCTATCTTCAAAGGTTTGAATTTGAAGTTGAAAATGATATTTTTGCCAATTTCTCAACTGGCAATAGTGAATTATAGGATTAATAGGATTAATCTTTAACAAGGTAGGACTGTTTATAGATACCATCTATTTTAGGGCTCTATTTTAATACATTTTAAAAATATAACTTAAAAATATGAAATTGTAACTTTAAATCAACTTAGTGAATGAATGACATATTTTTATATAAAAAAGAGCTCATTCAGAAATTCCTAGTAGCCATTATTATTGAGAACAAAGAACCTTCAAAGCCTTTACAGCTTAGCAATAAAGTTGTAAAACCATTGATGCTGTAGTCTTCTTACGATCACGAAGAAACAAACACAACAAGAAAGAAGTCCGATAGTACTACAGTATGGCAGATAATATCCTTTTAAAGTTGTACTATTACAGGTTGAAGTATATTTGGGATGTAATGTTACTGTTAACTATAGCAAAGATAATAAGATGGATGGTGTAGTTGCAGTAAAGTATTGGCATAACTGAAATTGACTAAATTAATTTTCAATTGAACATTTTACAAATGGATTTGAACAAATCGAAATAGAAAAACGCCCACGGGATGATAAAATATTACAAGTATAGTATGTTATATTTTCAATATATCAATGTCATATAGTTTCTGATTTTTTATAGTCTGTTATTGGAAGGTAATCTTTGGCGTTGCTAGAGATTAATTAACGGTTTGCATGAGCTTCTAGATTTAATTCCAACTTAATAACTTCCTTCTTTTCATATACACGTTCAACCCTTTCTCTTCCTTTTCCAAACCGGTGTTTCAAACAATAAGTAATATAATCAATAATGCCTTTAGGATTAAAAAATCACAAGTATCGTATGATGTTTGAGCACTGCGGTTATCGCGAATTCTGACACAGCTTAATGACGATAGCTGATTGTATGGAGATATCGCGGCTGCTTACAAGACCAATATATCTAATTTATCATCAATTATTCTGGACAGAAAAATAAACATGTACCTTCAATAAAACCACACGATTGTACTGGCTCATTGTAGAAAGTCGGGTGCCTTTGATGTAATAAGGTCACATTCTGGAAGAATAATTATCAGGAGTGACAACAATTACTGATAATATCATAAAGGAACATGGAAATATATTTAGTTTAATATACGTCAAAATAATGGTATATAATTTAAGTTTATGAAATGTATTGGATTATCAAAATAATATTGGTAAGTTTAGATGTGTAATGCAAAATTTAAGAATAAAACCAAATAGTCAGCTTCAAATAATGTACATATTTAATTTGGATCCAAACAAAAATAAATTTTCGATTTCATTGGATTTTATATACCGATTGATCTATGGATAACAATCGTCTTATTTAGAGATTTATGTCTAATGATGGAGAGAAAGTCAAAATTTATACATAAATTAGTAAACAAACAGTCTTCTCTGGCTACATACAATTCAATAAAAATATTTGTATTTAATGACATCTTTTTAAAAGCAATATGTTTGTTCAGATAATTTCTGAAAAAAGATTGGGGCTGTGTCATTCATTTTACCGTTATATAATTAATTTCATATAATATCATACCATACAGAAAGTAAATTTGTATATATTTTCGATGACTGGGAACTTTGTTGTCTCACCTGAACTTCTCTGATATTAAGTAACTGTAAGCTCACGTTAAATAAACCAGCGAGTAATTACTATTCATCATCGGTGTTGTTCATATTTTTCAGATTATTTCATCGGCTACATATTTGTCATCAGCAGGTAAAACAATTTTATTTAAATTATTATATTAGTCTTGAATTTAAGTTCGTATATCAAAGCATCTATAGCAAATAATACTGTCTTAGAACAGATACTGTATTGAACTATGACATTAAGATAACAGTTTTTATTGTCATGTATCAATTTGTATTGAAATATAAGTATTTGAACATAAACAGAACAATTTGAACAAAAACATAACAATTTATACAGAGAAATATATCAATTTGTAGACAAATATATCAATTTGTAGACAAATATATCAATTTGTAGACAAATATATCAATTTGTAGACAAATATATCAATTTGTAGACAAATATAACAATTTGTACACAATTTGTAGACAAATATAACAAATTATACACGAATATATCAATTTGTATACAAGGATCTGTATTGGGATCGGTATATACAGTTCACCCTATACACTAAAGAACTGGGTACGCTTATTAGAGACCGGGGAGGGGGGGGGGGGGTGGATGGCCGAATGGTTAGCCCGTGCGCGCTGTATCATAAAGTCTGTCATAGAGTCAACTGGCGTGGTTTCGATTCCCCGGTTGTACGTGACAATGAGTATGGTCGCCTGTCCAACCTTGTGGTTTTTTTCCGGGTCACCAGTGTAAGCTGCTTCAACAAAATCCAAACTTTTAGGGTGTTATGAACAAATTAAATTGTGGATCACAGCAAATAAACTAAAACTTAATGATGAGAAAACTGAAGCTTTACTTCTTGGTCCTAAATCCAGACGTTAGCTTTGGGGTATAACCCATGTAAATGTTGGCAACCTCTCTATTCCAGTTTCAAACAGTAGAAGAAATCTGGGAGTGATGTTGATAGCAATATCAGTATGGAAACCCATACTAACCATTCTGAGTGACCTCTTACAATCCTATAACCCTGCAACGACCTTAAGATCTGTAGATAAAAAACTCTTTATAGTGCCTAAGCCTAAAACAGCCCGTTTCGGTCAAAGGACTTTTTCCTACTCAGCCTCAACAGAGTGGAATGATCTGCCACTGGAAATAAAGAATTCTCCAGATATTGTTGCGTTTAGATCCAGACTTAAAAAAAACCTTTTTGTTTAAGAAAGCTTTCACTTTGTGACAACTGTGATCGTTTTAGGACTGCGCGTTGAACATGCTCATGGATGGACATTGCGCAATATATAGACTATTATTATATCATTATTATATTATTATTATATGAATTTGTACACAAATACACAATTTGATCATATTGTAGCAATTTATATTCGAAAATAGCTATATGTACTAAATTATAACAATTGTATTTAGATATACCAATAATAATCCGGATTTATTTTTGTACGTTGTACAAATATGTTTTTTTTTATTAAGGAGTAACCAGTTTATGTAGGGACAAGAATAAAATATGTTTCAATGATGCCAATGTACTTGGCTATTTTACTCAACAATGTAGTAATTCCACCTCTGTGAGGGAATCCTGTCCGTATATGTGTGGAGTATGTGGTAGGTAATACTGTTCTATCAAAATGTAATCGATAAAATCAGTAGTAACAATTTAATCGTTAAAACCAGTAGTAAGAAATAAACAAAAACGTTCTAGACACCGTTCAAAACGGTATTCGCATTTTTTTTTATTGCATGTATTCCTTATTGTAATTAGTTTTATTTTAAAAGATGTATATATCTATATAATATCTATACATGTACATTCTATGTTTCCATTTTCTGTATTTTCTGTATATCAGACCATGAAGTATACCGAGAAGCGGAGGTGTACTTTTCCTTTGATGACCTTAATGATTTAAAGGTAGAATAATCATTTCTTTCCTTATTTCCTATCAAAATGGCTTTACAATTGTAATACATTTATTTGAACTGGGAGTAACATTGTAATATTCCCCCATAAGGCAACCATAAACTGTTTTGACAAAAGGCACGGGATGGCTTCGTGCTCATTTTATCTGGATATATTTTCGAAAGTGGATTCATAATCAAATTTAAAACGTTATTGGCAGATGAATTACACCGACTTAAAGCAAGTACTTCCCCGAACAACTTTGTCACGGAATGGATGCACTTTCAGGCCCCGAAATTTAAATGTATAATTGGATCTGGGTATCAATAGAAATTAACTAAGTAATTTACAATGCGTTATCGTTTCCTGCCTAGTTCAATACTCCATGTCTATCAGCAGGTTAAATTACTTTATCACCCACTAATATACATTATACAGAAGATATCGCTTGTGTGATAAATTTCATAATCTACTGCGATATCTCCATATCGCTTTACATGAATTTGATTGGTCAATCAAAAAGGAACTACTTTTTTTTATTTTCAAAAAACAGTTCATTTTGTTTTGTTAAAAGTAACTTCCTTCTTATTAAAAAAGGAACTATCTTTATTTAATTGACTTTCATGGAAACACTGGGTCAATATAAAGGACTTTGCAATGGTTGAATTACTGTCTAAAAATGATGTATCACTACGCCGTAATGTAATCAGGTTCAGTAAAAGTGAAATCTATAGCAAAGAATTATATTTATTTTATTTGTGCATGTACGAAAGGATTGAGTGATAAATAAAATCTCCTACTCGTCTTTTTTGATATCAAAAATTATCAACACTCGCATTGTGTTGATATTTTTTCATATCAAAAAAGATTCGTAGGAGATTCTCTATATCTCATTAAAGTTAGATTACATTTTCGCTCAGTTATCAGGAAAAAAAACCTCGAAACGATTTGATTGAGATTGATTAATTATTATTTTTCTTTGTTTTATGTAGAATCAAATTGTCGGGGGAATTATTGAAGACGGTATTATAATAAATGAAGTCGGACGCCGTAAAGGCAGTCTTTCAATGAATGGCTCTACCTGTTTACAAGTTGATAATAGTACAGCACAAAGTACGTCGATTTTTCTATTTTTTTTCAATTTCCCTTTTTAAAGATACTAAAGTAGCCCACTTTCCTTGGGCATAGTTTTTCGGGTTTTAAGTTTTATTCATATATATATATGCGCAATAATGATATATTTGAAATGGACCCATTCTGTATCAATTAACTATTTTCAGTATCATGTCTCAATGGTCCTATTGGTTGTGATGGAATAAGTTTTGCTTTGTTTTTTGCATATGCTTTACCTGCCAAAAGTAATTCAGATCTAACCTACTTTACATCTGGTAAGTCTTATAAATGTGGAGCTAATTTTATTACCCCACTCCCTATCTTTGACCAAACTAAATACGTCTAGTATAAATGTTAACACCGGACTAAAATAATGCTCTGCGGGTCAATGTTTTAAGATTTAATTCTTAAATTGTGCATGATTTATTTTCTGATTTATCGATCAGTCTTCGAATCGTTGTGAAAATCAAGAGTTTTTGAAGGTTGTTTCACAGGTGCTGTTATTGTTTAACTGGTAACAAAGCGGAGTCTGATTTAAATAAAGTGTCGTGCATCAATGTTTGTCTTAAAATTATTACCCTTGACAGTCATTGAAAAATGCAATTCATTCACTGTGTTGGATTTGTAATCTTCTTGGGATGCTTGACTATAGTTATAGTTATACGTCAATTATTGTTGGAATTAATGCCCTTGTCATTGAAACATTATAATACATGTTACACTTTTTGAGACTTCTTTTAAAACAAAGCTTGATTCGGGTCTGGAGAAATTCTTTTCTAAATTTTAAAACAGTAAATTGTAATACCTTCATTAACATTTGGGTGACTTAGTGGCTAATGAGCGTACATTTCGGTGTACATGATGCTTAATGATTTACCAAAGTACACATTATGAACCAAACGCACTAACCTGTTATCTATCAATTTTGCTTAAATTTAGGAGGCCATACCGATTCTACTGGAATTTATTTTGGATATAGCAGAGCACTGAAGAAATTTATGGTGAAGATAAAAAGTAGCACACGACAATATACTGCTTATTTTAGGGAAGACGACATACCATCAAAACAACGTTATCTTATACACCTAGCAGTAACTTGTTCATTAACAGAAGATACAGGTCTTGTATTAAAGAAAATGAAAAATTATTAACTGGTCTTTTAATTAATAATTCAAGCCGTTAATGCATGATCCGCTACAATGATAGCATAAGATTTTATATTATGTTAGAGTTTTTAATAGCTTGTCTCTAGGATACGGTTAATTACCATCTATGTAAAATGTATTCTCTGCTCTTACATGAAACAAACACCCTTCAAAACAAAAACAAAACACGCAATAAAATCATCATAATAATTCATTTTGTGGTGTTACACCAAAGACAAATGTCATATTGTCTATATCGACGCATCTATTCTCTACAAACGACAGTTTGAAACACCCCATAAAAACTCTGAAAAGCTCAACGTAAACTAAAATCTGGCCATTGTTCTAGTCCATACTTTCTCGGTCTATATCACCAAAACATAGACTAGGAACCTTTTATGTCTTGTTATTGATTCGAAATAATCAAAGCTAATTACATTCTTTTTCTAGGCATTCTTGGATCAATCACGAATGGTTTAGGAAATATACATGGCTTGACAGGAAGTCATCTAGCAGACAGAAAGTTACATCATACAGGTAAATATATTAAAATAGCTATATGGAGAGCAGTTCAAGCCAGCTATTCAGTTTCAGGTTCCATTTTCCTAATCTGGACTCAAAACACTTGATTTGAGGGTGAATCATATCCAGTGGCGAATTTTATGATACCCACCCCGCCGAAATGTTTAATAAATAAATGCATGTTATTTTCATTAAAAGCTAGCTCTATCTAAATTCATTCAGACTAATCAAACTAAGATGCAATTATTTCTGTTGATCGTTTTCCTTATCCAGTCCATACTGTGATCAAAGGCAAATTAAGTCTATCGTAATATAAAACAAATTATAAAATTTACGTATTTTCATAATTCCATATCCTAGTAAGTAATATTTTAACGTTTAGGTATTCGCGCTATTCATACTTTGGATGCCATTTTCAAAGCAATGTTTCAGATGTTTGTGGATTATCAAGTTTATATAAGTATTTATAGAACAGCAGGCTCCAAGTTCACAAAGCATTCTCAAAATAAGTTAAGAGTTTACTTAACTTTCAATGACTGTTATGAGAAATATCTTTGATCCAGAAACACAAAACTTTGCATATAGATTTTTATTGATATATTTGATACAAAAGATTTATAAAAGCTATAATTTTAGTAAAATAATGCGAACAATTTTGAGTAAATTCGTAACTTAAGTCTGAGAATGCTTTGTTAACCCGGGGCCTGATTGTATATGATTGTATTTATCTTTGTAGGTTTAAAGATTTATATTGAAGGTAAACTGTTCCTACATGAGAGAAACTTTACTACCGAGATATTAACAAATACACACACGAACGTTACCATCGGTTGTATTAACAAAGGGTAAGGAATTACACCCACTCACCCTCTGTTTCATTTAATATACTTGATGATTTTTAAAAAAACAAAATTCAAATATTATTTTGATATCATGTTTTATCATTTTAAACTTCTTTGGATATTCACAGGGAGACATGGTACCATTTGCTGAAGATGGACGAATTGGGTGTTTGGAATAGAGTGCTTTCTCCCTCAGAAGTATTTAATATAGCGATACCTAGTTAGTATATATTAAGTTAGTTGCTTCGAATATGTTTCATCCCTATACCCAATCGGTAAATAAACAGCCCCCCCCTCTCCCCCAAAAAACAAAAACAAAAAAACCAAAAAAACAAACAAAAGAAAACAAAAGAAAACAAAAACAAAAGAAAACAAAAACAAAACAAAAACAAAAGAAAACAAATGCATTTATAAAGAATCTGAAATGAAGCTCCTCGGGCAGTCTGAGACAGTGTAACATTATATAGAACATACACTAACACTATAAGAAAATGTTGTTTCTGATTTGAAGTGCTAAAAACAAGCATTTAAGTATAACATACCATCATGCAAGTTTCTTCTAAAAAAATTCTTGATAAGATTCTGTAACGATTTTATGCCTGGATGCGCTTTTTAATTTATAATTTGTATTACAGACATACCAAACAATCTATGCAGATTACATTTGATGACATTCTGTAATGATTTTGACATGCTATTTTATTTAAAATTTATATTACAGATGATAAAATAGATTATCAACAACCGATCAATCAGTTGGTAAGTAAAGTTCTTATCATTTTGATAAAACCTTACTAGGAGGATCACACCACGAATAAACAATGTTGAAACAAGAAATCCAAAAGGCAAAAGAAAAACACGTTCGTTTTAAGCCATAAATTAAAAGCACAAATCAAATAAACGAAACAACTGCAAGAAATATCACACAGTACTTGATCAGGCGCTAATAATATATCATTTGTTATCATCAAAGCATGATATGAAGCATTATCCTTATATAACTTAGAAATCCTGAAATATAATCAGTGAAAGTTAAACCGGGAGCTTTCTTTTAGCGATTATTTCTCTCTGAATTTAACTTTATTTCGCATAGACTAGAATGCGAGCTTTCTCGCAATTATGTACATGTTCTGCATCATATTATTTAAATTAACCCCTTACCATGAATTATACGGCATAGCGTTTCGAATTCCCTCCTTGCATTGTGAATTTCCCCCTTGCTTTATAAGTTTAGAATTCCCTCCGTGCATTATAAGGTTTAAAATTCCCCCACCCATAATAAATTCTAGAAATCTCCCATGCATTATAAGTTTAGACTCCCTCCGTGCATTATAAAGTATAGAATTGCTTTCATGCGTTATAAAGTTTAGAATTCCCTCCGTCAATTATAAAGTTTAGAATTGCCTACATGCTTTATAAAGGTTAAAATTGCCTCCACGCGCTATAAGGTTTAGAGTTCCCTCCCCAAGCGTAATAAAGTTAAGAATTCCATCCGTGAATCATAAAGTTTAGAATTCCCTCCATGCTTTATAACGTTTAGAATTTCCTCCATGCTTTACAAAGTTTAGAATTAACCCATGCATTATAAAGTTTAGAATTCACCCATGCGTTATAAAGTTTATAATTCCTCCATGCTTTATGAAGTTTATAATTCATCCATGCATAATAAAGTTTAGGATTCCATTATAAAGTTTAGAATGCCTCCATGCATTATAATGTTTAGAATTCCTCGATGCTTTATGAAGTTTAGAATAAAACACGGATGTGGAAAATACCACTGAAATTCCAAGATCGAAGTTAATTCCACACACAAAACTGACTCCCACGATCAAAGGAAATTGTAGCCCTGGATTTATATGAAAGATACAAATAATGTAAACACTTCCAAGTCCCATATCTCAATATAATTTATACGTATTATCAGTCGTGTTTGGAATTATGGATTGACCTTCATGCATAAGGATATTAGTGATACCACAAACATGACCCATTTTCTGTTTTTGTTAGGATAGCGAGTTAATCAACACTAAAAACAATCTGGATACTGCTAAATCAGTGGTGGAATCACTAAATGGAATATTCAAAACTAAAATACTGAATGATGAGGATGTGAGGGAAGTTGTCAGTCTTTGGTCTCGTCTAGCAGCTGCCCAGTATACACCTCGGATAGAGCGAATGTCAGTAATCGTTAATACAACACCTAGTCCAGTTGATGAAGACAACCTTGTACAGGTAATAAGAAAACAGACCCCGATTTCACAAAGCATTCTCAGACTTAAGTGTTTACTCAATTTGCAATCAATGTTTATGAGAAACACAAAATCTGATTTTGTATAAAGCAGAATATCCATGATTCAAGTAAAGAAGGCGATATTCTTACAACGATCAAAATAGTGAATTGTGAAATTTAGATCAAATTACAAAATCAAAAACAAAGAATCGATAGTGAGCACCTTTAGCTCAATATTACCTATTCTCTAAAATGTAATAAATATCCGTCAATGTAGATTGCATGATTGAATACATTTATCTGATAACTGTAAATTATAGATTTTTTATTATTGTTTCAGAGAGTTGGGGACACCGTAGATAAGTTCCTTGGGGTATCAAACCGTGAAGCCGTAGCAAATCTATCCATTCAGGTTAGTAGTGATTGAGATTTGGAATCGTAAAATTAACTTAAGCCCCCTTAGCTATATATATATTACCATAAATCTTTTTTAAATAATTGTTTAAGCATAGTAAAACAAAATACAGATATATGACTAATAGATACCCGCCCCTCCTTTGTTTTAGAAACATAATAATCACTTTTATAATTTTCATTTTAGGAACCCGAAGCTTTGCCCAACTTTGTTCAAGCATTAGACAGTTTTCTTGGTAAAATCTCTCGATTTTCCTTGTCACCAGATGCAAATGGTACACTGACTACTACGCAGATTCGCAATACAATTGGTAATGAAACTAATTTTTATATGCGTTGGATTGACTTGTATAGAAACGGGGGTGGGGGGGGGGGCTTACTACGGTTTTCAAAGTGAATACATACAAACGGAGAGATAAAACATATAGTGAAATCATTCCTAATGGAGAATGTTTGGCAAAATAGTAGCAGGGTAGAAAAATAGATTTGTGATGATAGAAGCTATAGACGTTCTATACTTATGGACAATTTCCAATAGAATGGAGATCTTAGCTTGGGTGTTGTCAATGTGCACATGTATATCTTTTTGTGAATGTGTGAAAAATAGAGATTCATATGAAAACGATAGATTCATAGTTTCTAATAGTTCCAAAACTATGAATACCACTAATATGTACATGTACAATTAGAATTAAAAAGCTATGTATGTTTGTAGAGATCCGTGTAAAGGTTGATACTAATGCTGAAGAAGAATATACATATGATGATGGAATCTCGGCGTTTCTAGATACTCCACTGAAAAATGCATCAGGAGCATTACTTGTCAATGTTTTATATAAAGGTGTTGGTAGTCTATTTCCCACAACACACAATATAACATTACAATATAATGCTACTCACAACAACAATACAAGGTAATTTTCAAGGTGTAAGATCTGCTATCTAGAACATCTCAAGTTCTTTTTAGCTTATTCCAGTAATAAGAAATCAATTTTTGAAACCATTAAAAGATACTTAGGCCACCCATTCAAATCCCCAAACTTATTTTTACCGAAAACATAGACCTAGTGTGTTTGTTTTTAAATCAACACAATAATGTCGATTTCTTTGCTATTTTCACAAAAATCGGAATAGACACAATTTGTTTGAACTGACCTAGGAAAATACAATTAAAGCACTGTTACTCGCCAGCTATTCAAATTATAATGCCGCCATATAACGCTAGAATCTGCACACTTTTTCATACTTTCCGGTATTGCCCATGAGTCTGAATGAACAGCGCGAAGCTAAGAAGTGTCACATTATTACAAACTAAAAATATCTGCATTCTGATTTCGCAATTCGATTCATTAGTCTGGTAGCCACATCTCCACATTGATGTATAACTTCTTTGATAGTCATTTAGTAAGTAAACATATTGGTATAAGGTACAATATTATGGATATACCATGCGAGGTTTCGACAAGGAGATGATACAAATATTTAAATATATATACAGAATAGGCACCCCCCCCCCCAAAAAAAAAAAAAAACCAAACAAAAAAACCCCAAAAACAAAAACAAACAAAAAAACAACACCCCCCCCCCCCAAAAAAAAACCCCAAAACCCCCCAAAAAACACCCCCCCCCCCAAAAAAAAAAAACCAAACAAAACAAAACAAAAACATACCCAAAACCTCCAAACTAATGCCAGTTTGTTACAAACTCTAATACGCTTGCCTTCCGATTTTTCAATTCGATTCATTAGTCTTGACATAGATGAATCATTGGTTTGTAAAGACGAGAGTTTCCTCCTCGAAACGTCACGTACTCTGTAATTGTGTATCCATAAAATTGTACTTTGTGTTGATGTAATATTATCGGGTAAACATAAATACATATAAGCATGTTTAAATTTCCAGGAACAATACCTATTTAAAACTGGGAGACGATATATTAGGAATGTCTGTATATGATAATGAATCTTATCCTCCTGCTTCAATAATATATAGATTTAAACTACCTCAAGTACCTGGAGCAGAAGTTTACCCTCACTGTGTTTTCCTGAAGTTTAATAACAGGTACATTAATTCATCTCCAGCATATTAAAGTAAAGATGAACAGCATTTTTCGATTATCAATAATCTCTTTCTTTATCCAAGATTTATCTTCAGTATACCCTTAGTACGTGGAAATGCCCTCGCCTAACAATTATAAAATTAAACCCAATTAAGAAACGGCCCCGGATTCCTTACAATTTGAAACATTAAATAACAAAGCACCGAGATATATTATCAATCTAATCATTCATAAACTACAGTGAAATAAGCATGTTTAATTTTATCTGTGTAGCTCTAAAAGCGAGCAGTACAGCCCTGTTTGGTCTGATGTTGGGTGTGTTTTACTTCAAGTTGCTACCAATTCTGTTACTTGCTCTTGTGGACATCTTACAAACTTTGCTGTTCTCATGCAAGTTGTTCCTTTTGAGGTTAGTAGATATGCTTCTGAGATAGATCGAAGATTAACGAGCGGCCACAAGAACATACACTTACTTGACGATTTCGGAAACGGCAGCAGTCAATCAAGCATTACTTCTTTATTCAAATAATAAAACTTTAGACAATGAAAGTAATTATTTGAATAAAGTAAAGTGAATTCGGTAAAGTGGCTTTAATATTCTTTTTATCTATTTTCATGTTTCAAAATACAAAGTTTTATATTAACGTCGGGTATAAATATGTATCGTGTTTACATGGGGGCAATAAACCCGCAAATACTTGATGTATATGGTAAGAAGGCGGGGCCGGTACAAACTCTAAGTACTCCACTGCAACAGTAAGTCGTATCATTATCAATTGATATTAATGATTGCCGTTTCCATATTTCCATATTTTTAGATAAGTGAATCTGATTTGCAAGCTCTAGAAGTCATTACATACATAGGATGTTCTTTATCTATCGTTGGTGCCACCTTAACCATTTTAACATTCATATTACTCAGGTAAGCTTGTTAATCGTCCTCTACCTGTGAATCCGGACTATATCTTTCCCGTCAGTATGTTTGTTAAACATTTCAATGTAATTTTATATTTAATTTCAGGATCTATACAGATAGAGTGATGATCCATTTAAATCTGGCAATAGCTATTATCGCTGCTCAGATTATATTTTTAATAGAAGAATCGATTCCACGAGCTACGGTTGGTTACCATATTTATGTCGAAAATTATCGAAGTTTTGAAAATTAATTTCAAGGATGCCTCCCATTTTAGATAGAAGTTCTTCTATGGCTCATAAAAAGCTATCTTAATAAAACGGAATTCCCCATAGCAGAATGTCCCGTTTCATGTTAAATGAGTATATGGAGAGGTATCAGAGCTTCAGAGATCTTCACCGGTCTTTGAAAAAATAAGTTTCGCTTCTTATGTGGGGTGTTCAAATTTGATTGCATGCAAAATATGAGAGAGACCTGGCAACCCATCGCCAAGATTTTGCTTTATTCTGGCCACTAGTGGTTTTCAAACGTCCAGTGGACGTTCGTGATCAATAATTTGCTGTAAGTAGGCTAATTATTTTATTTGCAATGGTTATTTACAATATGTTTGATCCCTACGTTGATCGAATGAGTTCATCGAGATTTTCTGATTTAATACCCCCTTGTCAGTGGTTTATACATTGACTTGCTCGTAAAAAACACACTTGGCAGTTGGAAGTGGGAAATAAGAGTAGCCCATAGCGCCACTGTTCGGTCAAAAATTCCCCTCATTGCACAGTGCCTGCAGAAAAGCAGTAAGTTAAACCCTCATTTCATTTCTTTAACTTATAAACCGATAACGGTAAAGCTCTTTGGGGTATATTCTGTGCTCGGAATAACTTGCGGTCTGAAAGTCGGGGGCAGCTTTAGATACATACAGGGGAATTCGGGGTTATTCTTCTGAAAGTTTTCTTTAAACCTGTAACGGGTTATTCTTCCAGCATAGGTTTTTCTTTTCCTTAAGAAAACATGAAATGAGGCTTTTCTTATTGGAATTCTGGGATATTCTCATTTTACGTACACGTAAACATAGCCGGTTTATTAGCACGATAAAGTCCTCGACTACGGTTATACGGGGGAAGAAAGTTGGGTTTTCTTTTTCTAGGGTTATTTTCTTCAGTTTTTCTTTCCCCAGCATAACCTCAGTCTCGTGCTTTATCCTACACATAACACGAGAAGGCGAGAGAGAGAGAGAGAGGGGGAGAGAGAGAGAGAGAGAGAGAGAGAGAGAGATGGGGTTTAACGTCCACTCGACACAAACCAGGTCATTTCGGGACTAACATATGGTTAATTTTATTTCATTAATTCGCTTGCGCGTAGGCGTCTTTAGCAGTTGGAGGAAACCGGAGGACCCGGAGAAAACCCACGAGGTTGGACAGGAGACCCTACTCCTTGTCACGTACAACCGGGGATTCGAAACCACGCCAGTTGACTCAATGACAGGCCGTATGATACAGCACGCACACGCTAACCATTCGCCCCCCCCCCCCCACAACACACACACACCCACACACGAGAAGGCAAGTCATATGTTATTATTTACCTTAAGGAGCAAACAAAATACGATTTTTTGACAGTTTTGTTTTGTATAAAGAATAAAAGTTGATAACAAAATATATTTCAGTCAGCTTGTACGGCCGTAACAGTTTTATTGTATTATTTTAATATGGCTATATTTTGTTGGATGCTGGTTGAAGGGACACAACTCTTCCTACAAATTGTGATCGTGTTTTCGTCGGATAGCAAAATGAAAATTTTCTATGGCATTGGATGGGGTAAGACATCTATCATAAACTACTTTTAGATCAATTACTACCTAACCCCCCAGTTTTATAATAATATTAATAATGGAAATGATAATTTCGTTAATATAATAATTGTGTAAGAACCATACCCTGACTATCCGTCTTTGTTAGTTTTTCCCGAGGTCCCGTGTATAGATTGGCGTGCACGTAAAAGATCCCTTAGTAGTTGTAAATCAATATAAGAGTAGGCCGGGCAAAATTTCCCTCATAGCACACTGTATGGCGTCTGCCCGTTTTCATTCGACCAGCCAGAGCAGAACAGTAGGACGTTAAACCCCATTTCATTTCATTTCATTGTTATTTTTAATTAAAGGTGTTCCATTTGTATTGTCATGCATTTCAATAGCTGTTCTTAATTCTTCAATCGGACAAAATGGAGTGTGAGTTCTATTTTTATGCTTATAGTTTTCGCCGGCGTAAAAGTCGGTCTAATACAAATGTAATGGTGTCGTTTCCACGGGGCCTAAAATAACGTGACTTGGAGCACGAACTTGCTTTGAAATGAAAAATCCGTGCTTCGAAAATAAGAAAAGCGTGCTTTTAAAAGAATGGTGTAGTGCTCTGAAAAAGTGTAAGGTAGCGATGCCTCCTGACCCCTAATATATAGATTCAGTCCCTAAAGCGACTTTAAAAGACAATGATCAGATTTGTTATTTATTTTATACGATTGTTACTGATATAATATGAGTTTTGATGTTGATGTGATGATAGAATTTGAATTATAATTAAAATATTATCGTAACAAAGGGGTGTGTTATCTTCCTAGTGCTGAGTTTTCATGCGAAGAAAAGCTGCACATAGCCAAATAAACTCCTATTTAAACTGCATCAGAATAGTTTTTCAGCTCTGAATTTTCAAAATTTTCGAAGCCCCCATACCCCCGACAGCGTGCTTGGCACCTCCGGCGCTCGCGGTCGGTCGGACACAGAATCCGTGCTACGAGAATTTAACCATATTTTAGCGCTTCCGGAAGCGAGAAAGCACGAGGAAACAAGCTTTTTTTTTATATCGTTTCGCTTTCATCTTGAATATGGCAGATTTTTTTAAAACATGGTGCGTGTTAATGTTTTTTTTTTTTAAAGGCGGCGATTGAGCCAAAACGATATTAAATCACGCTTTAATGATAAATCCTTACTTACTACGTCATTAATTATGTGGGATTCCCCAAAGGTTCCAGCGCTTTTCTGTAAACCAGGAAATACAAAACGTTGGTTTTTTTCCCACTGGCAATAACGCGTACATGGAAAACGGGGCTTTAGTTTAGTTTTAAAAGTAGCAATAGCAGTGACATTAAGAATGAATTGAATTGGCAATGGTGCATAGAATGGCTGGTTATCATATAATGATAAATTATAAGGACATTATATAAGTAATTGTGTGTCAGTAGAGGATCGCAGATTTCTTGTGGGTTTATAGTATTCAAGAAACTCAGAAAGACAGACGGGGTCAATGTATTCAGGCATTTAAACACAAGTAACACTATTTTGTATTCTATTTTGGACCTTTTGATGTTTATCTATCAGTTTAAGTGTGAGGCCTGTGCGTAGGTAATTACAATTATCGAACCTTGATTTTACGCGCTGATTTTGATGGGGATATTAGGCAAGTTCCTATTGGAATTGAATTGTTGTCATTGTCTTTGGATAATTGAGTTTTCGAGCCAAGAATAAGATATACGGTTTTTCCATAATTCAATTTTTATAACATTTTGTGACATCCAGCATCTAATATTAGCAATACAATTTAACAGATTAGATTAAGTGTAGTTAAAATCACCATTTGACGCTTTTTTAAATTAATAGTATAACTGGGAGTCATCGGCGTATAAATGGAATGACAGTTGTGCCAAGAGGTGATATGTAGAGGCTGAAAAGAATCTGACCTAATAGTGATCCCTTTGGGACTCCGTATTTCATTTCGGCATTTTTAGATTTCTCGTTTCCAATGATAATATATATTCAACTCACTTGATTAATTGTATTTACTAACACCGAAAACCTACCTGTTCAAAATCAATATCTAATTAATACATTTCGTTTAATTCAAACTAATTATTTGGCCTACCTGTTTTTGGTTTAATCTTCAAAATCAGTATCTAATTTACACATTTCATTCAATTAAAGCCAAATAAAAATTAACTAGAACTCCTAAGGAGTACTGACGTGTTTTGGTATGTCACGTCATGTCAAGTCACGCCTTGTCACATCAACATTCAAGTTACACCATGAATTATTGAGTATAGTAGCATCCAATACCTAATAAAGTGGAAAAACCTGTCATTTTGAACTCTTAATAAAACCGGAAGTTATACTTCATGACCGAACTTTTCATATTAATTGTTAGTAGACATCAGGGTCATCATACATACAATGGTCAAGGGTCATGGAAAGATTAGGTCACCATCTAAATGGTGAAAAGTCGAACAAACTTCAAAGTGAAACCGGAAGTAAACAAATTTGAAATTGAAAAATCGGCTCCTTAAGAATTGTTGCAATTTGGAATAGGTTCAATACCAAAAAAAAAGTTTTCGAAAATCGGAATTAAAATGGCGGCTGAATATCGATTTATATGTTTTTTGTAAAATCCAATATGGCGGCCAAGCGGTTGAAGTTGTTATCAAACAAGGTCTTTGAAAATAAAAGATAATATCTGGGGCTAACACCACCATATGTCATTTTCTGTCTATTTTTAAAATGGAGAGAACTATTCATGTTCGGAAAAAATCGGAAGGCCTCGGTAATTTCTGGAAGTTTCCGGAAGCCGTCACAAAATTTTTTAATATGCCATTTTGAAGGCACCGATGTGTTCCTTATTCCTACTAAGTTTCAACTTGATACATCAAAATTCATATCTCCATCACTATTTAATAGTGATGGAGATACGCCATCTTGAATGTCGAAAAAATGACGAAGAGAACTTTCGCAAATCTGTGATGCTAATATTAATCGAACGAACTTCAGAATATCGAAACACTGTCAGTCAGACCCCATATGGGATTCGTAAAAAGAATCCAAAAATGAAAACGCGAAGAAGATCCGTTGAGAAATAACCGGGATATGGGCAATCTTAGATTAGTTTTTATACCATCCCTAAAACACTTCCTGTTTGTCAAAAATGACCCAATTTATATTTAATAAATAGATCCAGGGAGGTCAACCACATCTACGTTGGCAGGATGTTTGCACCATGTACAGACTAAATCCCCCCCCCCTCCTAAAAAAAATAATAAAAACACTGACAGAAACAATACGTGTTTCAACCGTTTCTCATCACTAATTTTGAAATCTGAGGTGAACAGACCGGATAAATGAAAAATTCTCATGGAGACGATGGAGACCACCATGTCGATAATATACCAACCACAATATCTTATAAAGATGGGTGCAGCATAATACATTAATTAGCGATTTTGAAGAAAGTTTAGGATGGGTGCGAGAATTGCGATGACGCTAATGAGAAACAAGTAATTTAATTGACCTACTTGCTATTGTTACTCATCCCCTGGAATTCTGCCAGTTTTCATATTGTTTTTTTTTTTCAATAAATAAATAAATGAACAGTGATTTAGAATCTAAAACATGTATTGTATTATTTAGAATGCTTGTCAAATTTTTGAAGACACACCATTTATTTCTCTGAATTATAGGTGCTGGCTGTCGGCTTCTGATAATTCTATTTGGGCCTTTGCTGTTCCTGCTATTTTTGTCATTTCGGTAAGTTGTTCAGGAGTGTAGACCTCATTTAAGCGAAACTATCGAAGATCGTTTAACAAATATACAAACATAATTTGTTCTTAATAATTGTGAATTGAGGATCCCAAAAATTTCTAATATGGAACGCATTGTAAATTTCAGACGAATCTTATTATTCTGACAGCTGTGATGAAGGTTGTGATAAATCTTAGTAAGACAATGGAAAAGTCGAAGACTGCAAGTATCAAGTGGGTACAATTATTCCTTTCGATTTTGTTGTTTTCCAGCGACAGGGTGAATAGGTCATTTTGTCAAATATTGAGGTTGACTTTGAATACTTAAACGGAGGCCTAAAGCGCCAATTATCACAGTATATCCTCTGGGGACAACCGTTCTAACATGAGCTATTTTATTACAGGAATGCCGTGAAAGCGTCTGTGTTTTTGTTACCATTGCTGGGAACGACTTGGTTGTTTGGTGTAATGGCGATCTCTGGTTCCACTGTGGTATTTCAGTATATATTTGCTCTTACTAATTCTCTACAGGGTTTCATGCTTTTCATCTGCCACTGTGTCTGTAATAGCGAGGTGGGTTAGAAATTTAATTACTACTGTTACCTATGTTAGCTATATGTTTTACTGCTCTGGGTCAAACTGTCAAATAGTAGTCATGTAAAATTATGTTGCACAATTAAGACAAACATAACCACACTAAAAGTTTCGCAGGAAACAAATGCGATTTTCAGTTTCTTTACACCCACCCAACCTTGCCATCGTGACCTCATTTCAGCTTACCGATGTCCTGTTATTAAAGGATTGTACTGCGTTTGATCGATGTCGTGTTTTCGGTAATTACGAAGGTAACACCTGAATCACGTTATAAATTATATTTTCAACATTTAAGTATTTAATCACCCGGGTACTCAGGTCAAAATCTGGTAATTAACGTGAACACTGGGAGATGGTTAATGGGTACGATATGTGGTGAGTGTCAATAGTCATTAGAGATCTATGGTGTACGGACACTACTTTTCTATTGGAGCAGGCACATGCACTGATTTATCTTGTGTATTTATGGACTATCCTTTGGATAATTGGTACTCTATTTTATGATTGTCTTATTCTAATGTTGATTTCAGGTGCGAGAATGTTTCATGAGAAGAAAATCAACGTGGGATCTGGGACGGCAGATTAGAATTGAGCCCATTTCGTATGTTCCTAAAATGGCCGAGTCGTTTAGAACGGTCCCCGATCCAGATCCAGATGCTATGTCACGTGCTGGTACGGAATCACCGTCTACTGACAGTTCGGCGATGGGTTCTCTCCCTGGAAGCGCTAAATCTGGTTTCCGCAGACGTTAGAAGCGTTGATATAATAGTTAAAGTGTCTTCATGGCAATATTACTCGCCAAAACATAAATCTTATAAATTCGATGTTAAATACAAAAGTACAACACAAATTTTTAGCGTCGGGTGTTCTAGAAGGAGTAAGCATAGCCTGCATTTTATACGATGCACAAAGCTAGCCAGTAAGACAGTTTCTACTTCGATTTAATAAGTGCTGGCGGTGCCTTGATTATCATTGTGTTCTACCAATTTTACCTTAAGAAAAAATAAATATATTTCCAAAAGCATATTATTACCCATCAGTTGTCTGGTAAAACATCATAAACAGAATGTAACCCAGTGTCCTGACTCATGACCGTGGTAATCGAAATCTGCATAAATATATGGCAGAGCTCGGCGCTTAAAGTGCTGGTTGGATATGAAGATAAGATTAAAGCCATAACACGCAAACATAAAAGACCACGGCCATCCCCAATTAAGTAAAATAAATTTCCTAAAATAACTATATGCCATAAGATTTCAATCCATCAATTTTAACATTTAATAAGGCCATTTGAAGTTTAGCCTCTGTTCTGTAGATTGGTTCTATTGTCTACAAATTAGTAGACATGGCAAGGTTTGGGGGTGTTTAGTTTGGAAAAGTTGAACTTTTCTATTTATTTTCCTGGAACATTAATAGATTATCCTATCGTCTTGTAAGATGTGGCGAAAGTATATTCTACAAAATTGTATTTTGTGGTGATTTTCACTTATTGATTGTTTTTCTTAGTCCAATATCTTGTGGAACTCTTGTGGTAGAAATACACCACACACCAAAACACTTATCAAAATTACATTATACAGACTCGAAATTTTAATGAGCTTTGTTTAGTCGAACTTCTGTCATATTATTTACAAGTTCAATATATTGTGGAACTTTTGTGGTGAGAAATTCCACACAAACACTGACAAACCTTGCCATAAATGTAGAGTCTAAATGGGTTTCACATTGCGTGTGACGAATTGGAGTCATGGCGTGGGGGCAAACCCTATCGATTTTCAACGTAAGCTACCTTTCGTTTCTGTTTCAGAGATATATTATGTGTCCAAGAAAGCTTGTGATCATGATAGAGATTAGATTTCTTGAAGGTGGATCAAATTTGGCCAACAGGGCTAAAATTCCATCTCCGTTTAAAATAATATCCACTACGGCACCACGCAAACTATGTGTATTACAAGTGTGGCGAACAAAGTTAGGGTGGAGTGTGTGTGTGTGGGTGGCGGGGGGGGGGGGGGGGTAGCTTGATGGTTTGATTCTCAAAACTCAATGTTTATATTATCTAATTTATTTATCTAGTTATTGGCGTTAGCTCGAGTTCAGGGTGACTTCCATTGGTAAATATGCGTCTCATACCACTTTTGCGACCCCCCCCCCCCCAAAAAAAAAAAAAAATCCCGGGATATGAAATTTAATCGTTTAATGTCAAATATGTCGAGTTAATTTAAGACAAGAAAATATTAATTTCTGGCTATGCTAATTTGAAACTACATATTGAATAAATTATAAATCTGTAACGACCGAGGGTCGGGTGTCCTTTAAAAGCCCAAACGTTTTAGCCAGAAACGCTCTTTGATTATAATCCTTCGCTATAAGGCATTGTAATGAAATGATTTCAACCTGTTGATTTAATTCTGACTAGTAATCAGGATATTAAACTATCAATACATCTCCTTATATCTTATCAATCTTTGGTTGAAAAAGGTACCGGGGGAAATAACTGTAATCTCAATTGTCTTGTCAATAGGTTTTAATGATTGGATTCAATAGAAAACATAACCAATCTATAATATTGAACTAATGTTCTATTTAATATTGAACTAATTTTCTATTTAATATTGAACTAATGTTCTATTTAATATTGAACTAATGTTCTATTTAATATTGAACTAATGTTCTAGTTAGTATCGAACTAATGTTAACGAACTAATGTTCTATTTAGTATCGAACTAATGTTCTATTTCATATTGAACTAATGTTCTATTTAATATTGAACCAAGCTAGTGTGTGTGTGTGGGATCATGTTTGATGTTGAATATTTTTCAAAATATACTACATTCCATGTTGTCAATATATGTTCCCATAGTGTTAGCTCTTTATATTATTTGACACATATCATATTCATAAAGATATAATTTATGTATATTTATGTCATATAGGGCACATTATATATAATGGCTATTTGTGCCCTTCGACAAAGAAAGCTGTTTTCCCTTGCAGTTTCTTCTTAACAAAACTACCATTCACATTTTATACAATAGAGCATTTATTGGGCGTCCATTTTATACATAGTAGATATAAACTTATACTTATATGTTAATATTCACAATAGTGTCATTAGTAAAATCGTGTTAATTTGACGTCATTTTTGATCCAGTGTGGCTTAGAAAAAGTTAAAAGTCGACGCATATTAAAGAACCGGTAAGTAATGTGAGTTACAACTAACAGTAATTAATACACAGACTTTTGAAAAGTAGGTTGAAGTAGTATCGTCTAGAAGGTACATGTATTGCAGAATGTGTGCTAAATTTTAAACATTATTGGGTGATAAATGGTCACATTCGTTGTAAAGTTGCCCTTTACAGCATTTTTCGAACTTTTCTAGCATTTTGTGTTTCTTTATATATATTAAACAATTCTAACTTATGCGTCAACTATTGTGATTGTATCTATAAGCACGTAAATATTTTTTTATAAACGCGACAGCGGGCAACAAACTCTTAAGTGGTATTGATATTAGGGTTAAGAAAAGAGAGAGAGAGAGAGCTGCGGGCAAGCTTATTATTTAAATAAAATATGCCATATATTAGTCCTAGTTGATCTCTCGCCTGAAATTTGGAAATTTGAATTTAATGGTTGAGATCCGTTGAATGTTTATGGGGTGGTATTTATTTCAAAACATTTTATACCACTTATCACTTAGTATATCGACGAATGGAGAGTGAGAGAGAGAGAGAGAGAGAGAGAGAGAGTTTAACGTTCACTCGACACAAACTAGGTCATTTCGGGACTAACACACGGTTCAATTTTATTTCAATAATTCGCTTGTGCGTAAGGGTCTTTAGTAGTGGGAGGAAACCGGAGGACCCGGAGAAAACCCACGAGGTTGGACAGGCGACCCTACTCCTTGTCACGTACAGACCTTATGACACAGCGCACAAGTGCTAACCATTCGGCCACCCAACCCCCTATCAATAAACAACAGTTTTACCCACTTAATTAATGTTTAATTACAACAAATTACATTCAAAACATCGATTATATTTTCTTGTATCAATATTTGATTCAAATTGATGGTTGGTATGATAAACACAAAACAAGTGCCTACTTTTTCATAAGTATATCTGTGTGTATGAAGTAGCTTTATTTGACGTCCGGTTCCACCATAATATGTTTTTATATGCCCACATTTTCATGTGACGTATGTTTTCGTCCGTCTGTCCGTCCGTCCACAATTTGTTTGTGGCCGCTCTACCAGGCGATACGTTTCAAGTCAGTAGCTTGAAGCGTATATATGGTATTAGTGTCAGTGGCCTGTGGCACGAAGTAACAGTATATTGTCGCATACATAATATATTATGTCAACGCTTGGGCGATATAATATATTATGTCAACGCTTGGAACTAGGATGGAGGTGACTAGGCATGAACTTGCAACGATAGATTTAATTGGCGCTTTGATAACCAATGAATGCTTTGGAGACATATTTTGGCGGTATTTTCCATCATGGAATCGGTAAGTTTCGATTGTTTTTTTCTTTTCTGTTTTTTCTCTCTTTTCTGTGTCCTAACCCTAACCCTAACCCTAACCCTAATCCGAAAGAAAAGTGCCCTTTTTTGAAATTCTGACATCACAGGTGCCCTTTTTCTGATAAGGATGCCCTCTTTTATTTACAGGGACACTTTCTATTGTTAAGGGGGTGGACCGGTCCCCATGGTCCAACCCCTGGATCCGCTCTGATGACGCGTACATTCCACTGAGTCTACAGGTCTAATATGCTAACACGCTTGGAGCGTCAACACAATATATTATGTCGCCCAAGCGTTGACATAATATATTATGTATGCGACAATATACTGTTACTTCGTGCCACAAGCCACTGACACTAATACCATATATACGCTTCAAGCTACTGACTTGAAACGTGCAGGGTGGCTCTACAGGTCAGAATTTTTATCCGATTTTGACGAGACTTAAAATATAGGTTTATCTCCCAACAATCTTTGTACCTGTCGAATTGGCCTGTATCGGACCCTTAGGACACAATTGTCATCCGATTTTGATGAAGCTTGAAATGTATGTTTATAACTCAAAGATCGTGGTTCACGGCAAAATGGTTGCTACTCCTCTAGAAATCACAATTTTTATCCGATCTTGATCCAACTTAAAATATATATGTTTACATACAAAAGATCTCGGTTCCGTTTGATATACGTGAACATCGGGCCGTAACTTCCTGGATTATGGCCTCTGATTGTACAAGAAATAGCATTTTTTTTAGCTTGTTCTTTATCCATCTCTTGCAAAATGTGGGCTTATCTTGCCTGGCAACCACTGGTTTTGTTGAGTCATTAAAATATTGAATTATAACAAGAATTTTTTTTCAGTTACGATATCGGTTATTCTGTAAAGACATAAATAGCATACTATGCTTCATATACTATTGGTATATGGTAACCTGGAGGAACCCAGCAGGGTCATCATACAAACGTACACATGTATAAAAAATGTTATACTGAACGTTTCCCAGAAGCTTTACAACATAAACTGAAAAACAGAACGTTAAACCCCATGTTATTTCATTTACATCAATAACCAATTATTTTTCAGAATTCATGGCATTAAAACAAGGCAATTCCCAAAACCGACACCTCGGTCGATCATGGAGGCACATAGCAGAAGACAGATTATCAAATCAGGACAATGTAATTTTATCAACAGTTAAGCAATTAGTGGAGAGTGGCTTAGAACAGAGTCATCAGACTAAATTTAAAAGAAGTGACATGGATGCTTCGAAGAAATACACTTTTGATCTTCACGTTCCCACTGGTAAGAAGTCAAAACTAGGGATCAAGTTGACACGGAAGTTGACGGTGGATGAAACGAGGCTGACTATCAGACGTATAGATGCCAGAGATTTGCCTTATTCAGCTTGTAAAAGACAGCAAGGGACAGAGGAATCGAATATAGATAAACTTTATTGTAATTTGTTCGGACCCAATCTTTGCCCTCACTGTATCCAGGTCGCAGATCAAGCTGAGTTTACCCACATTCAGGACACAGCTTATCCTAAAATAGGCATCAATACCCGATATATTGTGGCAGGTGGTAAACTCAATAAAAAGAAAACAGGAAGTAAAGGTGTATTTATTTCCCCTTTTAACCGTCCAGTAGACGTAAAAACCATAGAACATGTTGTTTCCGATGAAGACATTCATAAACGATTACGAGGAAAATACATAACTTCAGGCAATACATTAGCCATAAACTATACTCCGCATTAAGAATAGCTGTAATAATAAATATTTATGTATTCTTACAATGATAGGAAGCTTTTGTGGCATGTGAACCTAATACCGCTAATATATTAAAAAGCCCTCAACAGGGGCGTGTTCAGGAATTCAAGCAGGGTGTTGTTGGGTGTGTGGGGGTGCCGGTGGGGTGTACAAGATGGGTCACCGTCAAGTTTGGCCTTAGGTTTGTGGACTTTCTCGAGAATTTGATAAAATCAGAAGCTCTGAGACAAGATTTCTGCTCATTTAGATGTGTGGGGTAAGGCCAAGACGCCTACGGTTGTCGACTGAACGTTCGGCAAACGCACGTTTGGTTGTTCCAAGTTATTTCGATGAATGGAGAAAAATAAATACTCTGCCCGAGAAGTCGAGGGTCCGGAACCCCAATCCCCTCTGGAAACGCACTTGCTTAAGATTTAAAAACAAAAATACAACAGCAATTATAAGCCGTGTAAACTTTTCAATAAACCCAGAGTCAGATTAAGATCCACGTGGATCTAGTGCAAGAAATCTGTCACTCTATAAACATTTAAGGATTCCAAAAATTGTAATAAAATTAATATTTTTTATCTGTATTTTTGTGCTTTCATTTCACTGCGTTGATTTCTTTAAAGAAGTTTCCATTTTAACCCAACATTCTAGTTTGCTAGTTCTGCAGCGACTGGGCTAATGAAGACGGGAATACGCCATACGCCATACTACGAGGGACAGCGACGCTACGGCCTACTTTTTACGTGCATGCCAATGTGTACACGGTACCTCGGTTTTTCGATCCATCCAAACGTCTATACATTGTCCCTTGTCAGGTCCTCTGTCCTGAACAATTGACAAGGGGGAAGCACGAAGGAAAGTTCAGATGAACTTTCTCGGCCAACATTGGGATCGGGCCAACGTCTTACTCACTGTGCTACCGCGCCTCCCCAGCTCTATGAACCGAGGACGATTAAGGATTACTTAAACGTGCCCTAGTTCAAAAACTACGGAGAGATGATTGCAAAAACAAAATGTGTGTATGTCACTTTATTATTCTCTGGACATTTTTTAAGGAAGCTGAACTGGACATTTTTAAGGAAGCTGAATTACTGAAACAATCAGAGACCCAATTCACAGCAAGAGAAAAGCAAATTTCGTGTTTCGGGATGTATTCGAAATAAAGGACCGCCGGTCTGCCTAATGGATATCAACAAAATGTACCAGTTTCCAAATATTTCTATGAACGCTCAATCTATAGTAATTACCACAGCCTTCTGTGCAGTAAAAAAAATTAATGACGCAGAGCTCACTCTAAAATCAATCTTTATTAATAAGATGAAAATGTAATCACATCGTTAATTATTCTTCAAATGAAACCATATAACTTTTGTTTGCACATACATAAACGCAGGGGCGGATCCAGGAATTTTTGCAGGAGGGGTTTGCCAGGTTCCTGAGAAAATGTATACCCCCCCCCCCCCTCGGCTTGAAATTTTTTGAGAGATACATGGTCTCTATCGTCATTTTGGCGTATATACATACACAATGATCTTTTTAAACAGAGAAATCCAACATCCTGTTTGACGTCAATTTTTATTAGGAATTAATACGATGACATTGTGATTCAATTTCATTGATACAAAGCATTAACTGTGATATCACATTATGTCTATATCATTATCTCGCGCTTTGAGTACCCATCCTGTCCCACCATCTGACGATAAAGGATAAAGCACAATTATGACACTTTTCTCATAACAAAGGTTGTTTTACCAAATAAATTATGTAGCTGAGCAGGGGGGGGGGCAAAAAAAACCCTCTGGATACACGCCTGAAACTACCCGGACAAGTCGATCCTTACATGACACCAATTTATTAAAGACTCTATGTGTGATGTTAGAGTTATAGAATACCCTCACAATATTGTGAAAGTTAAATATATATTCTATATTAGGAATATCAGTCCAAAAATTGTTTAATTCCGTTCAGTATTCACAAAGATATGACTAATTGAAAATCCCATAGATCTATACTGCTCCCTATATAATATGACGGCCGCCATGTGAATCCACGGATATTATCTAGCGTTGCTTTTTTGATTTTGTTTTCTTAAGTAAATGCTAAAAAATCAATCTGAGTATATATTACCGTGTATTAAAGGAGCTAAACATCTAGATCCATATATTCCATATTATTGGAAATTAAAAACACGAATATTAAATATTAGTCCATTTCAATCAATATTTGTGCCACGATGCCTAATTCACAAACGAGAAAATGATTTATTAAAAGCTTTTTAGAATAGACTAAGCAGGCGTAAACATGGTCGTTCAATTTGAAATGTTCGTGTATTTCACCAAATATAATTGATTAGAAATTACAATATATATTTTTTGAACAGCGTGTGCTTGCTCTTTCGAGAAAACCCGTGGTTCGAACCCGGTTTTGATCATGAAAGCGCCTCTTGTCTGTGGGTGCAGGACAGCGTCTAGTCGTTCGGATAGGACAAAAATTTGAGGTACCGCATTCACGTTGGCGTGCACATAAAAACACCACGATAATTGGAATTCGAAATAAGAGTAGGCTGTAGTGCCACTGTCTGTGCGAAATTTTCCCCCATAGCACACGCTATGGCGTACGTCCGTTTTTATTAGTCCCTGCTATGCAGAAAAGAAGGGCGTTAGACCCCATTTCAAAGGGGGTTAACGTCCACTCGACTCAAACTAGGTCATTTCGGGACTAACATATGGTTAAATTTAATTTCTATAGTTCGCGTGTGCTAAGGGTTCATTAGCAGCGGACGGAACCCGGAGGTAAGATAACATCAATATTAAAGTGCACATAGATATATCTATATACAATATTAGTTGCTTAGTTTGCTTACAAACATTTTGATTGCTTTTTAACGCAATAAATTTTTTTCTTTCTTGAAATAGTACAACAACTCTTTATTTAATAAATTGAGAATTTGTTTATGTTATCTAAGCCTATTTTGTTTAGGGTTTTCTTTTTCGCTAATATATATCCCGGATTACATGCTTATTTGACACTGATACTGACGACAAGAACATTTGGTGTTCTATTGTCGTCAGTATCAGTGTCAAATAAGCATGTAATCCGGGATATATCAAATTCATTGTTTGTCTTTAGTTTAAACTTGCCAACATACTTGTGCATGATTACAAATGCATAACACAGGTCAATGATTCTCTTCTATTTTTTTTGCAAAATGTACACAGGGCTGATTTCATTATTCCAGACTTATCTTAAGATTTATTAGAGCTAATATTTATTCTATTGAAATGATTTTAGCCTAGTAGCCGTAGTAAATCGTAGTAAATTCAAAAGTATATTTAATTTAAAATAAACACAACAGTTCTATGGATAACAATTACTATATTTAATTAAAGCTACGTTTCAACAATGATTCATTGTTGAAACGTAGCTTTAATTAAATATAGTAATTGTTATCCATAGAACTGTTGTGTTTATTTTAATGTGTTCAATTACTAAATGCCATTCAAACAGTATATATTTAATTTCATTCCCAGATCTGATTGGTATGAACATATTGAGATTTATGTTTTTAAGTTGTTTTTTTTATCTAAGTAATGTGTTTCTTAGTATCACGCTTAACGATAAATTATAATGTTTAAGATCTATATTGTTTAATTCATATAAGCGTGGAGATAATTTAAAAACGGGTTTGAACGTGTCATACGTCATAAAAAATAACCTTCATCGAAGAGATCATATATGTATGTTTTCTCGTATGAAACATCTAAATATTATAATTATTGTTGGCCGGGAACTTGGCAGCGAGGGATACTCATCTTGTTGTTCTTGGGGGTGACACTCCTCAAAGAAGTCCAAGGTACGATCAAGATGAAACTTTGCATTCTGATGGCGAACTTCGATATTTGATATGGTGTTGAAATTCCAAAATGGCGGTAATCACGTCATACTCGATTCTTGGTCCCATAGTAATACTGTACTTGTTTTATTATTGATTTGTATATTTTAGTTCTACCACGATGACCGACGCAGAATATTCAATATCTCCGTCATTCAGTACTGGTTTATTTATGCAATTTAGACCTTTATTTCCACAACCTTATTGCGCAGGCTTTGAAACTTTATAAAATAAATCATCCCCAAAAGAGCGAAGCAATGACCGTTTATTAGGTAAAAAAGAAAAGAGCAATTTTGATCAGCCAGTGGTTTGATGTTTTAAGAATCTTTTGATATATATACAAAAATGTTAGCCATACAAAATTTCTAATTAAATAAACACTGCTGGCATAGTTAACCCCAACAGGTAGCTTAACCCAACAGAGCATTACAAACAAATACAGACAAAAATTGTCAAAGGTTTATTTATGCTCATAAAAAATACATTGTATTTAGTATTCCTCTCCTCCTTCTTCTTCTCCCTCGCCTTCAACAGAATCAACACCAACTTCTTCATAATCCTTCTCCAAAGCAGCTAAATCCTCTCTGGCTTCAGAGAATTCACCCTCTTCCATACCTTCGCCAACATACCAGTGGACGAAAGCTCTCTTGGCGTACATAAGATCAAATTTATGATCAAGACGAGCCCAGGCTTCAGCAATAGCAGTCGTGTTACTCAACATGCAGACAGCTCTCTGTACCTTGGCTAAATCACCTCCAGGTACAACAGTTGGTGGTTGGTAGTTGATACCAACTTTGAAACCAGTTGGACACCAGTCAACGAACTGGATGGTTCTCTTGGTCTTGATGGTAGCGATAGCAGCATTGACATCCTTGGGAACAACATCACCCCTGTACAACATACAGCATGACATGTACTTGCCGTGTCGAGGATCACATTTTACCATCTGGTTGGCGGGTTCAAAACATGCATTGGTGATTTCAGCAACAGTTAGTTGTTCATGGTAGGCCTTTTCAGCAGAGATGACTGGAGCATATGTAGCCAGAGGGAAATGTATACGTGGGTAGGGTACCAAGTTGGTTTGGAACTCGGTCAAGTCGACGTTGAGGGCACCATCAAATCTTAGAGAAGCTGTGATTGAGCTGACAATTTGACCAATTAATCTGTTTAAGTTGGTATAGGTTGGTCTTTCAATATCCAGGTTACGACGACAGATATCATAAATAGCTTCATTGTCCACCATGAAGGCACAGTCAGAATGTTCTAAGGTGGTGTGGGTAGTCAAGATGGAGTTGTAAGGTTCAACTACAGCAGTGGAGATCTGGGGAGCTGGGTAAATGGCAAATTCAAGCTTGGATTTCTTGCCATAATCGACACTCAATCTTTCCATCAGAAGGGAAGAGAAACCAGAGCCGGTTCCTCCACCAAAACTGTGGAAGATGAGAAATCCTTGTAGACCGGTACACTGATCAGCCAACTTCCTGATTCTGTCCAGAACCAAATCAATGATTTCTTTACCCACTGTGTAATGTCCTCTAGCGTAGTTATTAGCGGCATCTTCTTTACCAGTGATGAGTTGTTCAGGGTGGAAGAGTTGTCGGTATGTACCAGTTCTTACTTCATCTACAACTGTTGGTTCCAAGTCAACAAACACAGCTCTTGGTACATGTTTACCAGCACCGGTCTCACTGAAGAATGTGTTGAAGGAATCATCTCCACCTCCAATAGTTTTATCTGATGGCATCTGGCCATCAGGCTGGATACCATGTTCCAAACAGTACAACTCCCAACAGGCATTTCCCATCTGGACACCAGCCTGGCCAATGTGGACGGAGATACATTCACGCTGAAGGGAAAGACAATAAATAAATACACTATTAGACCAATCGTTGTCTTAATTAAGTTTTCTCCGAACAGGGATATCTGCAAGTTAACATATTTTGATGTAGTTTGTGTTACAAAACATAATATTAACACCAACTAGGTCATTTCGATACTAGCATATGGTACAATTGTATTACAGTAAGTCGCTTCCGCGTAGGGTTCTTTGGCAGTGGGAAGAAACCATAGGACCAGGAGAAAACCCACGATGTTAGGTATTTGACCCTACTCATTTTCACGTACAAGAATGGGACCGAAACCACATCGCTTGACTTATTGACAGGCCTAATGATTGTAAGCAAACGCATTGAACCATTCGCTCGCCACTTTCGAAGGGGGATGTCACCTAACATACAAAATGAAATAAAATGAACTGGGGTTTTGCGTCCTACTTTTTTTTATACCGACTGGGCTAATGAAGACGGGCATTCGCCATACAGTGACTTACAGCCTACTCTTATATCGAAATCAAACTTTCAACGGTTCGTTTACGTGCACACCAGTTCATATGGCCTCGGTTTTTCATATCATCCGAACGACTAGACGCAGTACTTGGCTGGGCCTCCATCCTGCACGACTGGCAAGGGGAAGCCACACTGGAGAATCCTGGGGAATATTCTCTGCCAACAACGGAATTGAACCCAGGACCCACAGCTTAGCGAGCTACCACCTTATGACTGAGCCACCTAGAGTCTAGCAATGTAAAACAGCCAGTAAAAATTGAGAAGGGTGGTATAATCTAATATACTTTACAAGTCTAAACAACGCTTCACATTTGCAAAATATTAAATAGAATTGTACACCATGGAACAAAAAGGGCCTTGCATTCGGCTAAAACACAATTTAACGTTTTAAAAAAAGATATCGTTTCTACATATTTAAGTTGTGCTTTATTTTATATAAAGAGGTTCAGTTATCTACCATAGAAGATGTTAGTCAAATTATCAATTACTGAAATAATGTTGAAAAAACTTACCATTTCGACGAGTTTTTTTAGAATACGAAAAAAGGGTAAACTACTTCGAAAGTTGATGGAGATATTCTTGTAATGAAGATCACTGCTGTACAGTTAATGACTGTATTTAGTTCCGTGAATTTATATATCATCCCAGTTTGTTGTGGATACCGTTATAATCACTATATTATGGATTATTTCATTGGCGCAAGTTACAGCTATACCGATAATCCACTGTTAGTTAGTTACATGTAGTTGTTGCGCTACAATTAGGGGTATAAAACCACTGATTTTTAAATAGCTAATATCATTATATCGTAGGTGTTCGTCGTAAATACAGTATATATTTGAAGTACCTGTTTGTATATTTTAAAGTATTCAAAATGGTAAGTAATGTTATTTGTGATTTATTATTAAGTAATTTTATTTGTGATTAATTATTAAGTAATTATCTAACTATAAATAATTAGCACATTACAACTGACCTCCAAACATTTTATTTCACATCGTTCTTATATCAGTATTGGACGAACTTAAAATTAACAATTATTTGCTAGACTAACACGTGGAATTTTGCGTCCGTATACATCAAACAACATTTCGATGCAAGCACGCGTAGTAAAATATTACATCTAAGAAAAATACGATAACTATGGACTCGTTCATAATTTTCTTTCTTTTTTTTCAGCGTGAATGTATCTCCGTCCATATTGGCCAGGCTGGTGTCCAGATGGGAAATGCCTGTTGGGAGTTGTACTGTTTGGAACATGGTATCCAGCCTGATGGCCAGATGCCATCAGATAAAACTATTGGAGGTGGAGATGATTCCTTCAACACATTCTTCAGTGAGACCGGTGCTGGTAAACATGTACCAAGAGCTGTGTTTGTTGACTTGGAACCAACAGTTGTAGATGAAGTAAGAACTGGTACATACCGACAACTCTTCCATCCTGAACAACTCATCACTGGTAAAGAAGATGCCGCTAATAACTACGCCAGAGGTCATTACACAGTGGGTAAAGAAATCATTGATTTGGTTCTCGACAGAATCAGGAAGTTGGCTGATCAATGTACCGGTCTGCAAGGATTTCTTATCTTCCACAGTTTTGGTGGAGGAACCGGCTCTGGTTTCTCTTCCCTTCTGATGGAAAGATTGAGTGTCGATTATGGCAAGAAATCCAAGCTTGAATTCGCCATTTACCCAGCTCCCCAGATCTCCACTGCTGTGGTTGAACCCTACAACTCTATCTTGACTACTCATACCACCTTAGAACATTCTGATTGTGCCTTCATGGTGGACAATGAAGCTATTTATGACATCTGTCGTCGTAACCTGGATATTGAAAGACCAACCTATACCAACTTAAACAGATTAATTGGTCAAATTGTCAGCTCAATCACAGCTTCTCTAAGATTTGATGGTGCCCTCAACGTCGATCTGACCGAGTTCCAGACCAACTTGGTACCCTACCCCCGTATCCATTTCCCCCTAGCTACATATGCTCCAGTCATCTCTGCTGAAAAGGCCTACCATGAACAACTGACTGTTGCTGAAATCACCAATGCATGTTTTGAACCCGCCAACCAGATGGTAAAATGTGATCCTCGACACGGCAAGTACATGTCATGCTGTATGTTGTACAGAGGTGATGTTGTTCCCAAGGATGTCAACGCTGCTATCGCTACCATCAAGACCAAGAGAACCATCCAATTCGTTGACTGGTGCCCAACTGGTTTTAAAGTCGGTATCAACTACCAACCACCAACTGTTGTACCAGGAGGTGATTTAGCCAAGGTACAGAGAGCTGTCTGTATGTTGAGTAACACGACTGCTATTGCTGAAGCCTGGGCTCGTCTTGATCATAAGTTTGATCTTATGTACGCTAAGAGAGCATTTGTCCACTGGTATGTTGGTGAAGGTATGGAAGAGGGTGAATTCTCTGAAGCCAGGGAGGATTTAGCTGCCTTGGAGAAGGATTATGAAGAGGTTGGTGTTGATTCTGTTGAAGGTGAAGGAGAAGAAGAAGGGGGAGAGGAATATTAGATGTCTACAAACAATCTAGTTATTTATTCATCTGAATAAAATACACTATTACTTGACTTAATTTTTGATCGAAATTTCATTATTTAATTTTGTGTTATGATTAAAATAGCCTTACGACCTACATCCCCTCAAAAATAAATCTTGACTGAAGTCGCTGTAAATGTTATGAATATAATTATGTCCAAGGAGTGCACAAATATATTCTTTAATTACCCTCGATGCTCTTTATTTATAATGGCTGAGATGTAACGTCTGAATCATGCGCATCGTGTGCAAATTGGTCAGCTCGGGGTGGATGTCGCAAACGCATTTAAGTTAAAATCACTAGGGGTTCATATATCTGCTATATAGGTGTCTCCGCACAAAATCATATATCTTCTCCACAAATTCACATCCAATGGCATAATTGCTTTACCCCACCCCTCGGCCCAATACACCTAATCTTTTGAGAATGCCTGTGTTGTCAGCTTTGTCATAAATATTTAGATACAAGAAACAGAATGAGAGAGAGAGAGAGAGAGAGAGAGAGAGGGGTAATGTCCACGCGACACAAATCAGTTCATTTCGCGTTTTACAGACGTTAAACCATTTGAATCCCCCCATATACATTGATTTGTGACAAAAGCTCTGATTAATGCAATGTGTGGGTATTATAACAGACCATGTATAAATCCTATCAAATAAAATATAAACAAAATACAATATGTGTAGATGGAAATATTAACACTAATAAGAAAGGCATTCGCTATGTGTTACATACGACAAAACACGATTCGCTGAGGGGTTGGATGGCCGAATGGTTAGAGCGTGCGCGTTGTATCATAAGGTCCATCATTGGGGCAACTGGCGTGGTTTCGATTCCCGGGTTGTACGTGACAAGGAGTTGGGTCGCCTGTCCAACCTCGTGGGTTTTCTACGGTTTCCTCCCACTGATAAGGACACCAGCTGCGGGCAAGCTTATTATTTAAATAAAACGAAATGACCTAGTTTGTGTCGAGTTGACGTTAAACCCCATTTCTCTCTCTCTCTCTCTCTCTCTCTCTCTCTCTCACACACACACTCTCCATTCGTCGATATACTAAGTGATAAGTGGTATAAAATGTTTTGAAATAAATACCACCCCATAAACATTCAACGGATCTCAACCATTAAATTCAAAATTCCAAATTTCAGCGAGAGATCAACTAGGACTAATATATGGCATATTTTATTTAAATAATAAGCTTGCCCGCAGCTGGTGTCTTTAGGAATATGAGCTTACGCGTGAGATTAAACTATGGTTTGCATAAATTACAGATTTGTTCTCTATAACAATTGGTGAAATATAAATGATTATGTAGTGGTATACTAGATGGCTGGTGCACATTTCAGTTAGTTTATTAACCCAAATATATGTAATTATGTGTCGTTAGCTTGTTATAAACAAAACAAGAAGATTTTGATTTAAAAGAACTTACTCAGTTTTAATTTAATAGGAACATTTGACAGTATTCAATGTCATTTCATCTTCACCAAAATCGTATAAGCTAGTAGTGTACAACTCGAAAAGATCGTGAACTATTAAAACGGTTTTACGTGGCTAACAACTATTGTTAGCTATGTGAAAATTACTACAAAAGTACAATGTTAAATGCGATACTAAAATGAGAGATTTCGTTCTATGCATCCGGCAGTACTTGTATGCTGTCTAGAATAAATCCCATAGCCCTTGTTTCAACACGTCTAGGTGTCTCTGATCGTTAATTGAGGGATTGTGAATGTTGAATCGTTCAGTTTTAAATTATCTGTCAACATTCGGTATCCTCTACAGACGATATAAACGGGAAATGGCCTAATCAAATGAGCGCCACCTATAATCTTCGATAAATCTTTTGATGGGCGTTTTGTAATACAGTTACTATCCAAACCGCGAGATATTGTACAGTTGATATTATGATTTTGTTTGGTAATTTTGTTGATTAAATGTTAAATAATCCACTTGGGTACATTTCAGTTTGGCTTAATTCATGAAATATTAGATATTATAAGAAATGCAAGTAACAGTCAATGGCTTAATTAATCTTTATAAGTGATTTTCCCCAGCTAAGAACTATCAAAACATTAAGGCGATAAACAATCAAGATTTGGCGTCACACATGTGAGTTCTCTCATCAAGGTGTTCGATTATTTTTTTCGTAGACAATATACTTTAATGTACAAACAATATGAATGGTTCATTAAACATTAACAAATGTCTATTATACAATTTATATTCGAGCGCTTAATGTCTTTGCTAAGTAGATTACCTTATCTAATCCTATTATACGATCTTGTAAGATCATAATTAGAATATAAGATTACTGATTTAATGTATAACTTTATAAGCTATATTTGATATCTGTAACCAAGTAACACGGTAGTTAACAACAAATGTATACCTTTATAAATTATAATGTTAACTATTCTAATCATCATTTACTGACTGTTCTCCTTGTAAGAACATCTACATTCAGTTAAACCAGATCTAACTTCAGTTTATATACTAAATACCTACTACTACACTTCAAAATGGTAAGTAAATAATACCTTTCAGATACACAAATTGAGGGCTTTAAGCAATGAAGTCATGTATTTTGTTGATTACGTTAAAATATTATAAACAAATATACTTTCTTATTTTTCCGCTTGAAGATATATTTTACAAATTTCATTTAATATAAATTTCATAACGATTTAATGATTATAATATATAACCAATATATTTGATATCTTTTAAACTGAATATACCACATATCTGTACTTAATGATTCGTTTCTCTTCTTTCAGCGTGAATGTATCTCCGTCCATATTGGCCAGGCTGGTGTCCAGATGGGAAATGCCTGTTGGGAGTTGTACTGTTTGGAACATGGTATCCAGCCCGATGGACAGATGCCATCAGACAAAACTATTGGAGGCGGAGACGATTCCTTCAATACATTCTTCAGCGAGACCGGTGCTGGTAAACATGTACCAAGAGCTGTGTTTGTTGATTTGGAGCCAACAGTTGTAGATGAAGTAAGAACTGGTACATACCGACAACTCTTCCACCCTGAACAGCTCATCACTGGTAAAGAAGATGCCGCTAATAACTACGCTAGAGGACATTACACAGTGGGTAAAGAAATCATTGATTTGGTTCTCGACAGAATCAGGAAGTTGGCGGATCAATGTACCGGTCTACAAGGATTTCTCATCTTCCACAGCTTTGGTGGAGGAACCGGCTCTGGGTTCTCTTCCCTTCTGATGGAAAGATTGAGTGTCGATTATGGCAAGAAATCCAAGCTTGAATTCGCCATTTACCCAGCTCCCCAGATCTCCACTGCTGTGGTCGAACCTTACAACTCTATCCTAACTACCCATACTACCTTAGAACATTCTGACTGTGCCTTCATGGTGGATAATGAAGCTATTTATGATATCTGTCGTCGTAACCTGGATATTGAAAGACCAACCTATACCAACTTAAACAGATTAATTGGTCAAATTGTCAGCTCAATCACAGCTTCTCTAAGATTTGATGGCGCCCTCAATGTCGACTTGACCGAGTTCCAGACCAACTTGGTACCATACCCACGTATACATTTCCCTCTAGCTACATATGCTCCAGTCATCTCTGCTGAAAAGGCCTACCATGAACAACTAACTGTTGCTGAAATCACCAATGCATGTTTTGAACCCGCCAACCAGATGGTAAAATGTGATCCTCGACACGGCAAGTACATGTCATGCTGTATGTTGTACAGAGGTGATGTTGTTCCCAAGGATGTCAACGCTGCTATCGCTACCATCAAGACCAAGAGAACCATCCAGTTCGTTGACTGGTGTCCAACTGGTTTCAAAGTTGGTATCAACTACCAACCACCAACTGTTGTACCAGGAGGTGATTTAGCCAAGGTACAGAGAGCTGTCTGTATGTTGAGTAACACTACCGCTATTGCTGAAGCCTGGGCTCGTCTTGATCATAAGTTTGATCTTATGTACGCTAAGAGAGCTTTCGTCCACTGGTATGTTGGCGAGGGCATGGAAGAGGGTGAATTCTCAGAAGCCAGGGAGGATTTAGCTGCCCTGGAAAAAGATTATGAAGAAGTTGGTGTTGATTCTGTTGAAGGCGAGGGAGAAGAAGAAGGAGGAGAGGAATACTAAATACAATGACATAATAATTAATGTACTTTTTTGTGTATTTGTTTATGTGCTTAAATAAGTTGGTATTGATTCTGTTGAAGACGAAGGAGAAGAAGATGGAAGGGAGGAATATTAAACTATTAAATTAAAGCATTAATAAAGCGTTAAGTTAACACCTGTATGTTTTCAAATTCAATTTTTGGTTAGAATTTATATAGTCACTATTAGTGATTACTGGGTAGAAGGGTCATAGCACGCGGGTTCCAATGTTTTGCGATTAATATTGATGTTAGTTTTTAGCTATTAATTTTCCAGTTAATCTATATCATTAATATCAGATCTGTACCTATTTTTATATCAGTTTCAAATAATTAAAAAAAAAATGTGTCACTTCCCCAAACAAGAGGCGATGGTCATTAGAATGCGAGATACTTTTGTCTTATGTGTTTTTTTTTTCGGGGGTCACGGTTGCTAAGACGCTGGCGCGCGAGTCGGGTGTTCGATCCCTGCATTGGCCGAGAAAGTTCATCCAGATTTTCCGACGTGGTTCTGCCCTGTCAGCGATGCAGGACGAGGGCCTGAGAAGCACATCTGTCTAGCCGTTCGGATGGGACGGAAAACCGAGGTCCCGTGTACACATTGGCATGCACGTAAAAGATCCCTTGACAGTTGGAATTCGATATAAGAGTAGGCCGTGGTGCCGCTGTCCGGGCAAAATTTTCCTCATAGCACACTGTAAGGCGTATGCCCGTCTTCATTAGTCCAGTTCGGAGTAGAACCTTAGGACGTTAAACCCCATTTCATTTCAATTTCTTTTAAGTTTCGAGTGCTGTATACGAAAGGGGGTCTACAACATCCGATGACACGTCAGCCCCAACTGGGCTATATTGCGCCAAATTCCTATTTAAGCTAATACACATGTGTTTACTTTTGTATTATGGTGAAGCTATTTGGAAGTTTCCAGGAAGATGAAAGATTAACATGTGGTGCTTGTTTAGTGTTTGGTACAACCATAAATATGTAAGTCTAGGGGGTGTCAGTCTATACCAATGCAATTTTCTCGGCGAAAACAGGACTAATGTAAGAAGGCAATTTGATATAATAACGATATACAGTTTGTATATCAAACTTTTGCTTAGTCTAAAGGGGTTTACTCGGTCAAGTCATCGTTTATTCGGTTAATGTTAATGTGACTCGGTCTCGGACATGCACACACAACAGGCCGCGGGTTCACAAAACATTCTCAGACTTAATATAAGAATTTACTCAACTTTCAATCACTGTTTATGAGAAATATCTTTGACTTAGAAATACAAAACTTTACACATAGTAGTTTGTTATTGATGTATTTAATACAGTAAAACAAAAAAAGCTTTATAAAAGGCCATATCTTAGTTAAAATAAGGTGAACAATTTTGAGTAAATCCTTGACTGAAATCTGAGAATGCTTTATGAACTCGTGGCCAGGCGTTTCTAGTTAAAACTATCTTCTGGGGATTTTTAAATACATTTTAACGTCATACATTACCATACTAATACATTACTTGACGTACAGGATTCAAACTATCATTTTATTGGTCTGTATTTATAGTACACGATAATATACGTAATGCAGCTAGCTGGGTTCCTTGTTTACATTTTAGATAATCAGTAGGCCTCTGAGATGGGTTGATGGCTATACACCATGACTGATATAGCTACAGACATTTTTACCTTTTTAACTCAATAATCAAGGCATGTATAAAGAGGTAGGTTGTTATTGCTAATAAGTTTATATTCCAAACACATTACATTTTGTTCTAAGTATTTGAGATTACATCATGGCATATCCACAAAATATTATTATGCGTCATCAAAAAAGGAGTTATTTCAGTTTCACGTGATGTTGAACGTGTAGCCGAAGATAGACATTTGGTAAACCCACCATCTTAGCAAAAGTACATTCAAAATGATGCGGAAATAATTTACATGGTACGGATCTCGTAATTACGACAACTATCTAACAATTACGATACCCGGTATAGAAGACCATTAAGATCAATCAAATGAAAACAAAAATATTCGGAGTATATTGTAATGTCGACATAATTATCTCGTAATTATGACGTAAGTAGAAGACCATTAGGGTCGATGAAATGAAAAAAAGAAAGTATTCTGATTATCTCGTAATGACGACACAATTTAAAGGTCGCCATACAATAACATAACATTTATTTACCGCGTAGCTATGCCAACATATTGAAATGAACTGTGATAGTATGGAAGAATATTTGGGTCACTACTTATTGAGATAATATCGCAACACATCGAACTAAAATATGTCAACTTCATGAGTTATATTACAAAAAATCGACTTAATAAGTCGACTCGACACATTAAATTCACCTCTAAACGACAAAAACTATGTCGATATGTTTACATCATGCCAATAGTCGATATTTTAATGCAATATATAGACTTAATAATGTCGCCGTTTTCTGTTATGTACCACGTGCTTAATTTCATTGCCCGAGATTGCTTATTCATGAAAGTGCAGCCAATGATGGGGTTTAACGTCCACTCGACACAAACTAGGTCATTTCACGTACAACCGGGAATTCGAAACCACGCCAGTTGACCCAATGACAGGCCTTATGATACAGTGCGCATGTGCTAACCATTAGCGAGTATTGATGTTTGCTCCTGATGCATCAACACGTACAATTTTACTTGATATCAGTACTAACAAACATTGCGGTTTTATTAGGTGGTCATTCCCGTTAAGCCGTCAGTTTACAATAGACGCACTTCGTCAAAACCCCAAGATTGTGCTATCAGTACATTGCTTCGGGAATATGGTAAAAGTCACAACATTGTTAACTCTATTGTTCGTTCAAATAGTATTTAGTCTTGACAGTTCACAAGGTTCAGACTAGTAGTATTGACAAGGACAAAGCCGATACTAAAAATAGCACAAACATGTCCATATTGAACTGCAATGTTCTATCCAAAAACATGATAATCCAAAATTTCTCCTAAAAATCTCCCCGCGTTTTCACACAGTAATCACGTAGTTCTTAGTTACACTATACACAAGTTTCAAATATCATATTTGAAGAAATCAGAGCAAAATAACCCAGTTGTAGTCACACATGGCAAAACAACTCTTTTGGTGCTTGGAACAGTAATTTAAGTGCTGATAGTAAGTCTTTTAGGATTATATACAAATTACCACCCTCAAAGAAAAAAAATAACAAACAATTTTTTTCACCGATGAATTTTCAGCTATGGTAGATATAATTGACAAGAAAGGGGAGAATTCTACAATTATTGTCGGAGATTTTAATATCCATTATGGGGGGGGGGGGGGGGCGGTGGTGGTAGGGGGGTGGATGGCCGAATGGTTAGCACGTACGCACTGTATCATAAGGCCTGTCATTGAGTCAACTGGCGTGGTTGCGAATCCGAGGTTGTACGTGACAAGGAGTAGGGTTGCCTGTCAAACCTAGTGGGTTTTCTCCGGGTCCTCCGGTTTCCTCCCACTGCTAAAGACCCCTAAAATTAAACCATATGTTAGTCCCGAAATGACCTAGTTTGTGTCGAGTGGACGTTAAACCCCATCATTGGCTGCACTTTCATGAATAAGCAATCTCGGGCAATGAAATTAAGCACGTGGTACATAACTGAAAACGGCGACATTATTAAGTCAATATATTGCATTAAAATATGACTTGTTGATTTAGAGTCAAATCGACTATTGGCATGATGTAAACATATCGACATAGTTTTTGTCGTTTAGAGGTGAATTTAATGTGTCGAGTCGACTTATTAAGTCGATTTTTTGTAATATAACTCATGAAGTTGACATATTTTAGTTCGATGTGTTGCGATATTATCTCAATAAGTAGTGACCCAAATACGCTTCCATAGTGATAGGTTGCATATCGTGCATATCGTCGACAGATGATGTCTAAATTTGTGAAATATTCAAATCACATCTGTGTAAATACGGAATTTACTTGAACCAATTTTATACTGAAATTACTTTTAGGGATTTAACTTCACAATATTGACGTGTACAAGAGATCAACAATCCCTCTAATAATAACGTTTGGGGACTTTTAATATAATTCATTAAAGGGACTATCCCGATTTGAACAGAGTCTCAAAAATAAAAGTCTGAGTACGTATGATATTTAAGCGTCAAAATATAGAGGTATGGTGTATTTACCTTGTCTCAAAGTTTCAGCGTGAACGTCAAAACTGCTTATCCGGACACGTAACCCTTTTAAGATTTCGGGTCATTTTTTTTGTTGGGTGACCTGATAAACGATTCCCGTTTCATTAGGGGTCTATACAATGAATGACCCATGTGCTGTACTTGATAACAAAAGGTAAATTTCACCTACACATTATTTTTTATAAAATTAAAGCCTGGTTTTATCCAGACACCGTATAATACAATTTGGGACAACAGTCTCCATTTCGAGATGAAGACTGGCAGGTTTAAGTTGTTTGAAAATATATCACATATATTGAGCCAGTTGCTCGGCCCTAAGCTAGAGGATTTTAAGGCATTTTAACACAAAATTAAGCAATTTTCTTCTCCAAAATATTATCGGGATTGGCCCTTTAATATCTTGACGCGCTCACCAATTTTATGCTATCATTAGTTATATTCATTGATTTCATGCTCTTATTAATATCATTCGTTAATTTCATATTCTCATTAATACCATACTCTCATTAAACTTGTTGGCGGCCTTTAAATTATTCTGAGTATCTTGTAATGTTTGTTTTTTTCCTATCAAGCTTTTCAAACTATTAATATTCATTTGGGTGGGAGTTATTGGGTAAGAAAAGGGGTGGGGTGCCTTTCGTCCATACTCACAAACCGTGTGGCTTTTTCCATTATAAAGATACACAGAGTGCTTATCAATGATATATCTATATTCTTTTTGTTTACTATATAATTTAATAATATTTCAGGTTGTACGTTCTGTTTCTACTGAATCAATTTTTATACGGGAGGAATCTAGTAATAATTACGATTCTGCTTTCCTGAATGTAAAACGGTATCATGACGTAAGTGTTATAAAATCTTTGATTTCCAAAGTTAAGTAAAACAGGGTGTGGGATCGCGATCGAAACATTTCTATCACCTTGTTATTCATATAATACAAATGCAACACCAATTATGCATGTGGTAGAATACATTCTCACTACCCCTGTGTATGAACACCCCTCGTACACAGCCGCTTTCTATTTAGATTACCAAGGTTGTATTTGTATTACCCCCCCTCCCTCGATTTTATATTACGACTAGCAGTTGACCCGGCATAGCACGGGTATAGCTATGAACCGGAAGTAGCATACCTCCGGGACAGCCCTTGTGTAGCCGCCAACCTTGGACAGACAGAGAGACAGACAAACGACAGACACAAATATGCACCGCCCGGGCTAACAACGACAGGCATACGCTATGAAATGTGCTACAAGGTGAATTTTGAACTCTGTTTTTCGACCCAGCCCTACGATTATATGCATCCCTGACAATGAGAAACGACGCTGGAAAATCCCAAGGAACAAGACTGGTCAGCACTATAACGTCCAGGCTAGTGAGCAAGCGTCTTATTCTCCGAGCAACTGTGAGAGACTGATCAGTTACTGAATCGTGAAAAAAAACTAGTGGTTACTTATAATCCTTTAGTGGTATTTAGCAATTGGAAACATAACAAAACTGACACAGTTATATGGGACAACAATCACTAGTTTATTATACACAAGCACGACGTTTCGATAAGTATTCGCTTATCGTTATCAAGCACAATGACATTTAGTGTGAAGTAGAAGTTTTACGACCGCTTCCACCTAGGTGATATCGCAGACAATGACATTTAGTGATGATGAGTTAGTTGTATTTTACGTCCGCTTCCACCGAGGTGATATCGCAGACAAATGACATTTAGTAAACTTGAGGGTCTATATATATGTACAATGTGAAACCATTCTTATTACTAATGATTAGAAGACTTCAAACAATTAACAGACATATTAACTCTTCTGCGATATCACCTCGGTGGAAGCGGACGTAAAATACAACTAACTAACAACAACTAAATGTCATTGTGCTTGATAACGATAAGAGAATACTTATCGAAACGTCTTGCTTTTGTATAATAAACTAGTGATTGTTGTCCCATATAACTGTGTCAGTTTTGTAGTGGTTACTTGCTTAAAACATATGGATACGTCATTAAAATATTAATGCAGTACATACAAATAAACCGAAACGTAATATTAACATATGATTTTAATCAGATTGATCTATTTTCAAGGACAGAAAGGTTACGAACCACAATTATATCACTATCAAAGGAGATGTTGATAACTTTCAATCTGGTGACCACAATAGTTTGAACAAGCAAAAAAATGAATCGATAAAACGAGAAAAACCGAACAAAGAACTTCAGAGGTTGAAGCGAATAACTAAGGAACAAAATGGTCAAATTGCGGACTTAAAAGATGATTTACATACCACGCAAGAGAGAGTTGGTGTTTTGGAAGAAAACGCGGTCAATGACAAGATGAAACTGCAGATGAAAGAAAAACAAATTGACCGAATAGAAGAAAGACTTCACATCCTGGAAGTGCAAGAAAAAGATGGGCGCAAAAGAGAAAACGAAATCCAGGGCCAAATACGTGCTTTTTGGGGTAAATTACACAAGAAACATACCAAAAGAACAAAAAGGGACTTGGATAAGGCTTCTTTAGATATATGTCAACCAAAGGAACATCCAAATAAGCAGTTCGTCACAGTTCAAGTTACTCATCTATCTACTTGGTAGGTTATTTCGTCACTTTAGTTCTGTAATGCTTTATTTTTAAATTGAAGGGACAAGTGTTGACCTTAATACGACCCAATTAGCTACGGACTGGCACGTGTTTAATGTTTTTTCCTCATATTATTATTTTGACTGACGGGCGAGCGTTGAGCAGTTTAAGATGCAAATTTTAAAGCTAGCACTGTAATTTTTGTTGATAAGATATGACATTTTTTATTTGGGGTGATAAACAACATATCAATCACCAAAAAAAATACCAATTTTTTTTACCAACTATGTACCATACTTGGCCCAAAAGCGTGATAATAAAGGGTGCTGTTGACAACAAGAGTCGAATTTCCTGAAATTTGGCATGAAGGATGCTAATTGCAAGTCCAAAAAAGCTAAAAGACAAATTTTGGCTATAGGCTGTGGTTTAGCATTTAGTACATGCTAAAAAGAGATATTGATAATCCCCCCGTAGATCTGAAGTAGAGGTTATAAGCGACATTTCGACACCAAAAAAGTTGTCAACTCAAGTATTTTCAAATCTTTGTTGATTATTTACCTTCAAACGAGATTTGAATACGTGTATGTCCACAGCAAGTTTTAAAATACAACAATTCGGATGTAAAAACAAATAAATTACTTCAGTGCACACTCCGCCGATCTCAAAATCATGTTATGCATTCAAAAATTAGTAATCTTTCACCATCAAAAAAAGAAATCCAGCCATGTTCCATTTCGAATAGATAAGTAGACCTAGATAATCGCGTCTTAGATGAAGTTCCTTCTATATAAATAGATACACATGGATCAGAAGATAGACGTCATTTTACCATTATGACCAAGATCTATACGGCTTTGATTATGACGATTGAAACCAGTGACGCCATTTTGTTTAACCCAAAACATTAAAATTAATTGGTTGTGTGGAGTAAAAAAAAAATCGAGAATTTGTTTTACACAGTAAAAAAGCAACACATATACAGATATAAATAATAAATAATTAAGTTGTAATAAATCATGTTATGTCTATAAAGTTATAGAAATAAAAATATCCCAAACAGAGTAGCCTATATACAGGAGATTGTATAGATTTATGAATATAAAGTTTAATAAATCAAAAATTAATAGAATTAAAAATAGTCTATAAACAACAGATTGTATAGATTTATGAAAATTTCAAAACACGTGATGTATTTCATATCTAATAAAATAAAATGAATATTATGAAAGAGAAAATGAATAGTCAGACCTTTTATGCTTCTTAACGCCGTCACGTGTGTTAAAATAAAGTAGATAATTTGAGTTCCTTGTTGAATTAATATGCCAATAACAATATATATATATATATATATATATATATATATATATATATAATATAACGGAAACGGTGTTTAAAATTGTATACGTATGTATAACATCAACGATAAATATACTGTTGGTGTAATTCATTATTTATACATTTGAATCATGGCGTGATTTTTTAATAACCTGGAGCCTTTTATCAAGGCTGTTTCACCGGTGCCCTCTTACCAAGAAAATTGAGAAATATTAGATGCATAGGCGTAAGGGCTCGATGAATTTTAGGGGGAGGGGCAGAACCAGAAATGCCCGAAAACATTTCCTGCCATTCCAGCCGGCCAATACAGCAACTTTAAAGTGGTCCAATATAGCCTAACTTCGGTGGCTGACTCGAATTCCAATCAACCATTTACAGTCCACGGAGAAAGTTTTACTGCCGCAGACGCGTTTTCCTGTTATTTCAGCCCGTGAATAAAGCAACTTCATTTTGGTTCAATATAACTTACCTTAGTTGACTTACCTGAATCTCAAACAACCAATCAACCATCCGGGGGTATTGGGGCCTCGCGCGCCCGAAGAAACTTTTGAAAATTTAACCGGTGCAAATGTGTTTTTCTGCTATTGTAGCCCCTGAATTAAGCAGCTTCAAAGTTCCAATCGGTTTGCAATCGAAATCACTATGCCGATATGAATTCCAATCAGACTGTTGCTGCTGCATTTACAAATAATAATCGATGTTCGAAAAATGTCGCACAAAGTAGGGTGGTTCCAGATAATCGATAGTCAATCCAATTCGTGGTGTTCAACTAAAAGAAAAGTAAAATTAGTGTTTTATTAGATTTCAGGCACTGTGTTTTGCCAACTTTACACGTTTTCTCTTTATCCGTCTACCCGAAAAGTCCGATTCTCCCCCTGGCTCTTACACGTATGGATATTTCACCCATGGAAAATTAAAGCCATCCGCGTATTTAAAAAGAATATTACATTACATTTATATCAATTTAAAATTGAGTGCGCGCTACATGAATCCTCTGCAAATTATTAATATTGTGAAAGCTGAATCGTTAATACGAATATCAGTCCAAAAATGGTTTAATTCCACCAATCTATGAGGTACCTTATATAACAAGACTGTCGCTATCGTTTTTGCCAAATTGATGGGCCGGTTACACATGGAATAAGGGTGAAAAGTCTTAAAGATACGTTCCCTTGTAGGCTACAAACTGGGTGATTTGTTGATGTATTTGGACTAAAAACATATTCAAACTAATTAATCTATCAAAATTTTGCTCCAAATCCTTCTCAAAACACTGTTTATGCGAGAAAATACCTTGCTATAAAAAAAATTATTAAAAGAGGTGATGTTTGTGTCACGTGACTTCGTTGGCAAACTAGCTAGCAAAGGGTGCGAAGTCGGAGGAGAATTTATTGCATACACAAGACGACGTTGTCTTTAATCGCTATCCATTTATCGTAAATATCGAAGCCTAATTAAATTCTCGGATTATCCATTGCCCACGGCCTAAATTTGTTTTTTTAATTAACAATCTGTGGGTGACAGTTTTAGTTATGCTCCTGTGTTACCGGAAAAGAGCTTTGCTCAAAGAACCTCAAGGTCCTTCACAGCCCACGTTGGGATTCAAACCTGGAACATTCTAACTGTACATCCTTACCGCTCAACTATATCTTGATTTCAGGAACTCCAAGACAGGAAAATCTGGTAAATATATGAATATAAGACGTAATTTAAAGATTGGTGAATTAGAGAAAAGATTAAAGAAAGGACCCGAGGAACCAGATATTTTCATAACAAATATTTATCGACCCGACGAGAAAGTATTTGTAGGATGGTGTTTCAGTGAAGGAAAGGATAAAACTATAAAAGAATACAATGTAAAAGACAGTGACATTATATTGTACTTATATACATGACAGAAATATTTAATATGTCTTCCATATGATACGTTTTTGTTATTTTATATGAATATACACGTTTTGACCTTTATTCTTTTGTAAAAATCATGACCACTAAAGTTTTATTTTCACATTCTCGGAGTTGTCTTTGCTAAAAATGAAATGGGGTTTAACGTCCTACTGTTCTGCCCCAACTGGGCTAATAAAGATGGGCATACGCCATACAGTGTGCTCTGAGGGAAATTTTGCCCGGACAGCGGCACTATGGCCTACTCTTATATCGAATTCCAACTGCCAAGGGATCTTTTATGTGAATGCCAATTTATACACGGGACCTCGGTTTTTCGTACCATCCGAACTACTTACCGCTGTCCTTGTCAAGTCCTCCGTCCTGCACAACAGACAAATGAAAACCACGTCGGAAAATCCCGATGAACCAGCGCCTTACCCACTTAGCCACCGTAGCTCCCATCTTTGCTAAAACGGATCAGTCGAAGCTGATTTGCATCCAGTCAAATGTATAATAATACGGCAAGATCTGTATTGAATTTGGGGTCAATCATTCTACTTGTATACAAATATTTTACAATTTAATTGCCGCTAAAGAAAACACCCATTATCTCCAAAATTGGGCTGTAATTTATAGCCGTTAAAAGATCAAGGTTATTTCCTAACATTGTTGTACACAGAATTTAATTCTGCTCTCGAATGTAAAGAATAAACGAAATGGCGCTTAAACGTCTTACTATTTATAACCAAACAGGCCAATGAGGAAACCACTTGTTCAATTTGAATTATCTTCACCTGGATTTAATGTTTTCAGATCTATCAAATCGTTCACATCCAATCAATGGTTTAATAGTTCAATATTCGTTCACTCTTATCTTAATCGATGTCATAAGAATCCGGCGTGTATAAGTCGTACTAACCAACTGCTTTCCATGAGCATTCAATGAAATCAAGAGGATGCAGTACTCTGGTAACGAAACAACACCGAAGAAGCGACACAAGTATGTTGATATGCCAAACTACTTGATAAAATTAAAGAAATGAAATGAAATGAAATGGGGTTTAACGTCCTACTGTTCTGCTCCGAACTGGGTTAATGAAGACGGGCATACGCCATACAGTGTTCTATGAGGGACATTTTGCCTGGACAGCGGTACTATGGCCTACTCTTATATCGAATTCCAACTGTCAAGGGATCTTTTACGTGCACGCCAATATGTACACGGGACCTCGGTTTTTCGTCCCATCCGAATGACTAGACAGCTGTCCTTGTCAGGCCCTCCGTCCTGCATCACTGACAAGGGGAAACTACGCCGGAAAGTCTGGATGAACTTTCTCGGCCAATGCAGGGATCATAAAATTAAAGAGACAACACCTAAATGAGAAATTCACACCTAGTACAATAAACCCCTTCAAAGATACATTATGTAAGATTTAGATACAGAGCTGAAAATTATTGCTACAATAGCTCAAAATAAATAATGTAAAATGAACATATTGAAAATTTGCTTTATTCTGAGCCAAGTTGTTACTGTGTGTAGTTTTGACAAGATGTGTGCATAGTGGTAACCAGGGCACTGGTATATTCGAGACTTATCCTCACTTTCCCATTTTTAAATTAAATTTTTAAATGGCGAACCGTTCTAATCTAGTTAAAATCTCGAGTGTCCGATGCCATCGAGAGTTGATTAAGGTATTTTCATGTTCATAAATGTCTAATTAATAGTTTATATAACATTTCAGGCCTAACGAAAGACCTACAATAGACAGATTTAGCTCTTGCATAATGTATGTTTAATATCAATAAAACAATGACCATGGTTTCCTTTTTCAGAATTTCGCATACGACTCTAACATCACCTTCACTGTTCCTCGTCGGTGAAGGTCTGAAACATTAGAGTCAATGTGGGCAGTAAATGGTGGTCTGAATCCAATTGATAATTAGAGTTGTTTACCTTGAATTATATTCTAAGCTTGTCTGCTATCTAAAAAATAAAATTACTTGAGCAACACCCTTTACACAATTCGAATAACGAACTTTTCGCTGAAATTCATTGTAACCAACACGTGCCGCTCTCTATAACGAAATGTTACCAGGGCGATTAAATGAATTGCATTGAGACACCCGTTAATATCCCCTCCTCCCAGCACCTCTTTTCAAATCTATACTCTAAGTGACATTGACAACATGAAAATTTGTTCCTTTTTCTTGCTTTTATTATGAAACTTAACAACACTTTGTAAAAATAAAAACACAACACAATTTATACGGAAAACAATCACTGGTTTATACACATATAATACGACGTTTTGTCAAGCATTCTCCCGTCGTTTTCAATTGTGTTGTGTTTTTTAATGTGCTCAATGGCTAAATGCCACTCAAGGATTATAAAACGTTGTAAAATAGGCAGAAATTATGTCTACCCTTGTCGGGGCGCTAAAAGTGTCCAATTTCCACATAGCATATCCACTCCAACCCTTTCTACGCATTATCTTCGCTTTATTAATCTTTTATTGAGCTTTACTCCTCTAGGACATTAATTTCTGATAATTTTCTAATCAGTTGTGATGAATTACATGGGGCCTATGTGCTGTTTGACAAGAAATAACCTAAAATTTTGAAATATGCGATACATCCCCCAAAAGCATCAAAATCTAAAATTTGAAATATTCGATACATCCGCAAAAAGCATCAAAATCTGAAGATAATCAGCCACACACGAACCAATCAAGTAAATCACTAAATCGACTACTCTTGTTACAAATTGCACATCTGGTTATATCGAACTGCGCATCTCGTTTTATCGAAGAGCACATTTTAAACAATAGAACAATAACTCGGCTAATTAGTACTATAGAAAAACGCGAATGTAGGATTATGTAACCATCAAGTCAGATTAAATGATTTTCAACTTACTTTCATTGTTAATTTACTTAGGTCTTACCGTTTTAGCACAAATTTTGACAGAATCTATAGGCTCCCCCAAGAACCCCACCCCTCTCCGCACAAAACCTGTTGCTGTGATGTCCATAGTAGTCTACCATGAATAGGTGGCCTTGTCACGGGCCCCATTCAAAGGGTTAACCGTGAAAACCAGTATTTGATTTGTATTGTAAAATATGAACTATAGACAAGAACAGCCTCCTCTTATTGTCGTAAAACAATAGGCATTAACAATGTACCAGGTGAAAAATTTGAAGTCAACGATAACTCTGACACATTCTCTTTTTACAATAAAACACTTAATCATTTTTTACACTTCAAATCTTTTGTTCAGCAAAATCCTTTTACATCTGAAGAAGAGGTTTAACCTAAAGTCTATAAAATCAATTGAAACTAACAAGACTCGCCTGTACTTTAGTAATACTAATGACAGCAGTTTTGTGTACCTGTAACATATGTCCCTTTAAATATATCTGAGTCATGTGAAATTGCCCGAGGCCGTATGTACATGTTCAAACAAAACAAAATTTGAAAAAAATATTTACATGTATTTGCTTGCTTGTTTTTGAAATTAACATAGTGATCTAGTGGAAAACATATCTTTAGGAGCATAGCTAAATTGCCTTACTAAGCTGAATTGGTATATTCGGTTAATCGCGCAGTAATAAACTAGGTTATTTAAAGGAGCTAAATGGCTAATATTTGGGGCCTTTAAATTGACACAAATGGGTCGCAACGCATATAATAATGTAATAGGAATGTATATAAACTGATTTACATTCAATCTTTTCCGTTTTTACTCTAATTTCAAATCAGTTTTATTCGGCGAAATACGCCAGAAGTGTCAATCGAATGACAAGCTCTAGCGTCTGGTTATTCCAGTCTACATTGATCGTATTTATTGCGCATGATCTCCAGATAAGAATATGGCCTCACCGTTTGACATAACTTGTATAGCCTCGTTCTTCGAGTCCCTTATTACAAATGGCACTGAAACGCATCATGGTAGACGATTCGTGTACCAATGGTAAAATGTTTATTATGTCTTAAATATTGGATATCAGAAGCCCATCTTTTTACGATACGATAACAACACCAATGTTGATTTAAACTGACAAATAATTCGTGTTTCAATGTTGAAGACTTTGGATAATATTGAGTTAGAGACTTAGCTACTTTAATATAAATATGAAATTTAAAATCTATTTAAATGTGCATGCACTGTTTAATGAAATATACTGACAATGGGTTATTTAATGTAAATCCGATGTAAATTGTATTGTTAAAAATTTTGAAAAGCATTGAACTGGAGTAGCCAACTAAACTCCGATCATTGATAGACAGACTAGCAGATTCCAACACTTAAATAAAAAAAACCCCACAAAATCATAGGGATCCTCCATTGGATACCCAAAAAGACATTCCGGAATCCAATCACTGACAAGCCGATTGAACCTGAGTTCAATACTCGATAGTGGACCGGACCGTAATCACCAATAATCAAACCGTCCTCTAATCATAACAGACAAGTGGATCCCAATATTTAAGCAATAAATGAAAATCATTCATTCGATACTAAAACAGACCTTCCGGAATACAGTCTGTGATTAAGTCTTCTATATTCTTGGCTGTGTGAGGTATCAGAAATGCTATGTTAAATCTAACATACAAAATACTTGAATTGAAGACCTTATATTCAAACCACCAGGTGACAATACCATGGGTCCGTATAGAAACTATAGAAGAGTGTATTATGATAATAACTAATATAAACATCAGGGTAGCAATATAATAAACTTTACTATTGTCAAAAGCAGATGGCTATCTTGCTTATTGTGTAGCGGTCATAAGGTCTAATATGATAGTTTATAGTTTTTCTGACATCTTTCAAACAGATTATCCACATGAATATCCCAAGACCATGCTGACCATGTGTGGGAATTTTCGGAATTCTGAGGTTTCGTAAATATTCAAAGACCCAGTATTATATTAGCTTCAAAACTGATAAAACCATTTTAGGTTAACAGGCTTATAGCGGTATAAAAGGACATATTAATCTAATGTCTAATATATATATTGATTTACATTCAATTTTTTAAAAACAGTTATTATAATTTCTAACCAATTATGTTCTGTGAAATACCTGAACATTCCACATTAAATGGCAGTCGTTTACGCCTGCTTGGTCCATTCCATACGCTGGATTTTTTTTCATTTTGTCGTTTGTGAATCAGCCATTTTTAATTACTTCCGGATTGTCTTCTGGGATATGTTTTTCTTTGTTCATTATAAATTGCTTGGAAAGCATAGAGTACACGACGTCGTGTACTCATTTTAAAAAGGTTCATTGTGTGTTAAATATTGAATATTAGGAGCCCATATTTTCACGGTAAGATAACAACATCAATATTGATTAAAATGGAACAATATTGAATTCTTGAAAGTCATATATAATTATGATGTGAATGAATTCTGAAAATTCAAATGGGGGTAGCTATGGAGTAAATATGAAAATTGATTTAGTTCTCTTTCAGATCGATTGTTTATCACAAGACATAAAAATGTCGTTAAACTTTGATTGTGAGATATTTTCCCTAGTATTTCCGTTTGGTAGGCTTTACACCAATACCAATATTAACGACCCTAGACAGACAACGGATACTGAAATCCTACAATGTAATGGTCACCAATGTAGAGGTAAGCAACGACGATTAAATACCCCTTTGGTCTTCCGTAGATTTATGGTCTATACTACACCTATAGATGGCGTTATATGGTGGGATTTGTCTGCGATATCAACTCGGTGGAGGCTGATGTTAAATAAAGCTATTTCACACACGTTATGTGGTGACCAAGACCAACACGGTCTAAAAAAATATCATGCCTAAAAAAGAGGTAAGAAAGACAAAAATAGCTTGAAGAATAATTATCGAATTAAATAGTAGTTAATGGAGTAGGACATTGGGTGTCGCATAATTATATAATTATAAGTTGGTAAGGGGCCTTAGTCACACAGTACAAGTCAAGCAGGTTATATAGAGATTTGATGATTTATGTCTCAAATACTGTCCGTCTTCACTAGCCCAGTCGGAGCAGAATAGTAGGATGTTAAACCCCATACGTTTCATTTCATTTCTCAAATATTTTACGAAAAATTCCCTCACGGGGAATCCCCTGTCACGAGAGGCGGCCATGACACCATGTAAATTATCAACAATAACTCTGTGGGCATTCAATATTTAATTTTAAACGCCCACTTGTGGTCGTATTTTGCTGTCGCCCTGTGGCTTGTGGAGACATATGTAGATATATATTTTTAAATGGCGCGATTTAAAAAGAACCCTATTGAAATGTCGCATTTTATCTACAAACATTGCATATGTGTACAAACAATTCACACTTATTGCAATTCTTTTCGTCAAAGGTCATTTTCAGCGGGTAGGCTCTACCATTACTATCAATGCAATTGATTTGTAATTGTTCTGGTTCTGTCTATGTAATTATCCAATGTGTCTATTATTGATCTTTTGAGAAATACCACATACAAATATTGGAATATTTTCCATTAAAATTGTAGCAAAAACTTCATTTATGAAAAACAATTTTGAGTTTTCTCTGTGGGGTTTGTCATATTTTTCACAGTACTCAAATATTGCCCTGATTTAGAAATAGTTTTAGATTTTAAAACAAAAGACATGAATCTAAAATGTACCGCTGTACGAAAAGAAGTATACATATATAAAGACTTAAACATACATTATGCAAGAGCTAAATCTGCTTATTGCAGGTCTTTCTTTAGGCCTGAAATTTTATCTAAATTATTAATTAGACATTAATTCACCTTTCCAGACCATAATCAACTCTAGATGGCACCGCTAGCCTGCGATCTTAAGTGGATTGTGAGCCGATTTACTGCATAACTTTCCTTCTCGATTAAACGATTAGATGGATAATCGAGACTATGCTGTTTATCGTACTGATTTTTGTAATGATGACCGAGGCTAAGCTAGGCAGAAATTTCATTCGCTTAGTTCTCGGTTCATAGTGGATCAATTTGAATGAAATTTTCAGCAAATTGCCTTTACGTTATCTAGTTTTTAATTATTATAGTGAGAACTGCCAACTCGTTATCGAATCTCCCATAATGTATCTTTAACATATTTGCAGCAGAACCGTAGGACGTTAAAGCCCATTCCATTTCACCATTTTTGGATTTTGAATTTCTTTCACTAGAAGATTGTTAGAATACTAAGGTGAAGCAAATAATAAAAAAGGGATTTTGCTGATACATGAGGAATCACCCCTCATTTGGTTATTCTGTTGATGGTCTTTCACTGCATTTATCTTTCTCCCTTTCGACTTTCTAGTATGAAATCGAAGAAAGTTGTTTGAATTTATATTTTCGGTTAGGTTTTGAATAAGATTCATGATTTTGAGGCGAAGAGATAACAGGGTTAAGAGATTTGTTACCTTGAAATGTACGTCCATTACATTGTGTATCTCAAGATTTCCATACAAGCTTTGAAGAAAGCATTATGTTGCTCCATTTGTGACAGAAAGCGTTCAACCCAGCAGCAAAAATCATGTCCAACGGCCACAATTTCTCGCGACGCCACTGATACGACAGTTTCATTTCCACATGATGACATTTACTATCTATTAAGAGACATTATTATTATTCGAAGTATATAAAACGCCACTTTATTTCCATCAAAATTAGATTATATATTGATAACACTGAATAATATTGATATTATTACAGGTTCAATATAAACAATGTCGTGAAGAAGATGACCCAATTTCACAGAATATTACAAAGCAAGAAGTAAGTCTGAATGAAGTTTGCGATTTGCTTGGAGCGTTGGATATTCTTATAATTATCGCGTAATTAACATTTACTATATGTATCTTATTAACTCTTATTAATGTGAGTCTGAGTCAAGGGCATGTTTTTGGTTTTTACAATAGATATTTTTTCTTGCTTGTGTAAATGGAAAGAAACGATTTTCATATTTTTATGATGTGTTTTTCTACAGGGTTCCACAACTACGGCTATGTTCTGTCTAATTAACCGTGTATATAAGCTCGGTTCATTTATTACAATTAAACTTTCCGAATAGCTCCAAATATAGACACGATAAATAGAATTGAGTGTTTGATTTTCTCTTTTATAGAATACAGCTACTATAAACCACAATTACATAACTATTAAAGGTGATGTTGAACACTGTCAATTCGGTGAACAAAGTTGTATAACTAGACAATCTTATGAACAAAATAACAGTAATAGCGTGTGCAAAAGGGAGCTCAAATCTGTAAAACAACATTTGCGCAGAGTAGAAAATAGAGTACGTGAATTAGAGATCAGAGATTCAAATAACCAAGTAAAACTAGAGATTCGAGACCAAACCATACGTTCATTGGAGGAGAAACTTCGCATATTGGAGATAGACGCGAAAAGGGAAAATCGGTCATTAAGAAGCACATTAGTTCAAAAGGATGATGAAATAAATTCGCTGAAAAATGAATTTGCGCAATCTTTGCCAAAAATTGAGATTGCAGAGGGTGAAATTGATAAATTTTTATCAATCAAAGCATGTCATTTCACAACTGGGTAAGTAGTAAAATATTTATGTGGTTTAGCTAAAGGTATTACCGGATGTTAGTACTTTTCTAAGAACACCTAATACCACATCTCATTTATTAAGAAAGTTAATATAACAGAAATCGATATAGACCCCATTCATCGGCTGTGATGATGGTCTATGTTCAAAATTAATTCGCCATTTTTGCAAAATAAAATAAATGTCGGTAACCTTGACATTCGCTACAAGAAAGTTCTGTGATAATATTCTACAAAATTGATTACATTCCTGTTAATCTCAAATATCTATAGCCTTTATAATGGTTTAACCTTCGAATGTACTTTTTTTTATCTTTGGCTGGCATATCCGTGCAGTGTAGTCTTGATAATGCAAATGTCCATGTAGCTGAAGCATTACCAGCTCATTAACCAGATAGCAATCATGGTTGATAGTTTATAATGGTTTGTTTGTTAGGTAGTGATAAGTCGGCAAACAAACTCGATGGCCAATGGCAGTCTGGGGTAGTATCAAATGGTTAATGAGTATTGTATATTTTGCAGATTTTCGCAGACCATGAAGGTGAAACCTCTCGATACAGTTAAAGACGTTGAGAAACAGATTAATGAAATGATGGACAGAAAAGATGTTTTCGTAACTAGCATTTGTAGACGCGAAAACAACAAAAGCTCCTACCTATGGTGGTGTTTTAAAGACAAATTCGATAAAACATTGAAGGAATATGGTGTGAAGGAGGGGGATTCTTTCGCTTATTCTTACACATAGATGTACACGTATTTCCTCGCAAATTGTATACTGGTGCATCTCCGAAATTTTCAAATTTTTCATTAAGATTACATAAGTTAAAAAATTAGTTTATTCCGCTTCCAATATATTTTAAGATAATAAAAATCCGTAATAATTGAATATGGTACAGCTTACCTTTGTAGGAATTTGAATAATATTCAGTTTTGATTAAATTGAAAGTTAGTGTCCGAATTATTATCTTAATCTTTCAAGGCTTTTAACAGTTTGAATTTATACTTATTTAACGACATATATATTATGTAATTATTCTATATGTTTCAATGTGTAATTCTAGCTTCAATCTGGGATCGACTAGCCAGCCCCACCAGTACCTATAATTATCGTGACTTTTCGGCAGTAACGAGTTTGTTGTAAAGGGGATAGGACTAGAAGATTCTCATACTATTTTTCAGCACCCCCGGGATGTTACGTTATACATGGTATTCGAGCTGTCACACACTAGAGTATCTACTGGATGTCCCAGGATTTTACAAGCCTGATCTTCGCGAATCTGGGGTGACTCTGACAGGTGCCTAGTGGTTTGGGTGGGACGAAAAACCTAGGCCCATCAGTTTACATACTGAAGTACACACAAACGAACCCATGGCAGTTGTAAATCCAATAATTGTAGACAAAAGCGCCGCTCTCCGGGGAAACACCGGGAGTAAGGAAATGACATTAATATGAACCTCGTGCATGTACTCCGTAGCCTATAGCTTTAAAAATCATTGCCGAACTAATGCGACGAAACAACCAAGTAGATATATTAGTTACTTGAACAGTGTCCAAATGCTTATTTGGATGTTCCTTCGGTTGGCATATATCCACAGAAACCTTATTCATGTCCACTCATGTACATTTTGGCAAGCACCCAAAAGAAGTAAAGAACCCTTGACAGTTGGAAATCGTCGAACAGTATGAAGAAACTTTGTTGTACGTTCAAATGTCTCCTACTTGCTTTGCACATTCCGACAATCTACAGCACCGCCCTAACCATAATGTAGATCAGACATACTGCCTTTATTATTTTTTTTCTCTTAAATTTGAATGACATGAAATGGGCTTTAACTTCCTACTGTTCTGCTCTTACTGGGTTAATGAAGACGGGTCTTAAATTTAAACTTCATTCTCAGAGAAACTGTTGTATTTTATTTAATTTCAATGTAATGAGAAGCCCTTGTGTATGTCAGCATATATTATCCAGAGTAAATATACGCCTACCCCCAATACAATACCAGTTGACTCCCACATATTTCATGTTATAGTATATTGTCGTACACTCACAATTGTTGAAATTCCTTTTCCAAACCAGTTGTGATTGTTCGTCTAGTAATACGGGTGATCCCCATACCACTCTCGCCAAAAGCATTTAAACAATCTGTATTTCAGAGTTTCTGAGAGATATTTTGGGACTATTGGTACATTTACACTACAATAAAAATTATCATTTTCATCATTTTTGGTCCATCGGGCCGGTGTTAAATACCCATTTTGTAACTTAAACATTTAGGACTTTTAATGGGGAAACTATAGTAGTTTTCAACTTCTTCTGCAAAACGCTCTATGGATTTGTTAAAATGAAGTTGATACCATAAAGCTTAAAATGTTAGTGGGTATACATACATGTACAGATAAAGATGATCACCACAACAGGAACGGGACTGCACACAGATTTAAACAAGAAGTCCATGCTCTTTCACTTCATCACACAAACTGCTTGATGTATTTTATCCATATATCGTTATATGCTTCTTGGGCATTGCTCATTCGGATTTGTTGGAATATAGTTTCTTGGCAAGGTAGTAGCAAATTTGACGTTTTCTTTTTTTCCTGTTAAACCATTCAGTGGTTTCCAATTAAAGTTTTTCCAATAATGGGTGGTTTAGGGAAATCTTTAACACAAGGAATTTTCTAGAAAAAATAAATAAATAGCATTTGAACAAAGTCTTGCAGGAATGTTAGGTTTCTGATAACTCTACATTGTGTGTAAAATGAAGCTGCTTGACCCCACTTGTGCTCTTGTCTCGTAATTTTTTCTATTTCGGAATTAAATTCAAATACACACAGTACAGAATGGGTCTCCATCAATAACATGACCTATCAATTTTTTCTATTTCATTTAAATCCATCAGAGATATTTCCCAGGCTTTAATAGAAGAGAAAGAAGAAGAAGATGGGAACATTTTCATCGTTTATGCTGATTGATAAAAAGTTGATTGAAAAGAATAAGGGATGTTCGTTGTCATAGATATTCAATACAATATTTAATAAGATCAAAGATCGTGTGAATAAGGTGTAAATATATAAACAATAGAAACGTTTATTGTGATCTATCATTTTGTCAGTTAACAAGTTTCGGTACCTTTTCATATAAATCAGCTTTCATTATATATATGCTTTTGGTAGCATTGGTCAATCATAACGGTAAATTCTTCATCATCACCTGTCCGAAGCGGTGCGTTTGAAGTTCTAGCGTCATGATGCCGTTATGGGTCATCGGTTGAAATATGATGTTTTCTTCGCGATTGTTTAAGAGTAAATTCCGACCTATTTAACAAGATATAGTGAGGCTAATCACCTTCCTAAACATTTGTTCACTTACTAAAAATACCACGCCCAGTCGCGTGCATTATAACTTTTATCTTTACCGCATCGATTCTCAACCAGTTGAAACTGACGCTATCTTATTGTTTCGATTGTCAATTTGATTTAATTCATTTACTGTTATCCTAATACTTGTGTTGCTATTTCGCTTTGATCTTACCGATTATCTCACGCCGTATGTCCGACTACTCCGAACAAGTGACGCTTTCTCGCGTATGCGACAGTTGTCGATTCCCGAGGTCTACGTATCCACCTCTCTGATTGGCGGAGCAAGGTTTCAGCTGCGCGCGTGCAATCCTCTCGTGAACCTTTGATGTGCTTGAAGGCAGGTGGTGATATGAAAGACAATAGTACAAGTCTATCTCGCTTTACGGTAGTCAAAAACCAAATTTGTTTCATCAAACCTTACTTTCCATGCAAAATATTCCCGTACTAAATTCGTAGTAATATCGTCCAATGAACAGGAACGTGGCGGAAAACATCGCGTGCGTTATGCTTTATTTTTTCCTTTATTCCGGCTGCAGTAACAAAAGATGAAGACACTAACCCCTAAGAAATCCCGAAGGATAAATTCAACAATATATTGTTTGCCCTTCTATTCAAGTAGATATTTCTATGATAATTTTTCATCGGAGATATAAATAATCTATTGAAATGGCGCTACATCTGGTTTTAATGTCAGCGCAAATTGAAGGAATTCTTTATAACATTAATTGTATTGTTTGGTTCTAAAACTTACCTATTAAAATTAATACCCATGCTCTTTGATTTTATTTCTTTTATTGGAATTAGTCATATGTTCTCTCACATTGTAGTTAAATAGATAAATATATGAATTCGAACTTAAGTAATTTTACGGAGCATATATAATTAACGCTGAAATTATTTAACCATATAGAAGTCGCCACAATCTGACACATGATATAATACGCGCGTTTTTAAACATAAAATTGAAATAAAATGCAATATTATATAAAAGCGGTTTTATTTCTTTTGTAATATTATTAAATGACTCTATAGTTAGCTTGCTGTCAATTGAATTTTACCAATAATAATATAATTTTATGAGAAAGAAAGAGTGATGAAATTTACAATTAATTATAACAAAAAAAACCCAAAACAAAGTTATACATTGCAAGATAATTTTCACATAAACCCTTCTCTGTTATCTGTTTTTAAAAAAAAAAAAAAAAAAAAAGAATCGAGGTTGGAACAATTTGCAAAATTTGGCGAGTTACTCATTATTTCCTATGCGTCAATTATATTTTTCTCGCGCCATTTCCATGGAGGGCGCATTTACTAATCTGATGCGAGAGCTTTTGCTTTAATGGAAAGATTTATTCAAAATTTAAATTGAATTCTAGAAAATCAATACTACTTAACGGTGGTGCGACTATCGTGCCAGTGTGTGGGAATTTGGCGGGCACGCGTACATTGTCATTAATAACAAAGGGCAGGTGTCTTGCGCGTGGCTCTCCTCAAGTCGCGCGCACGACAGACGGCAATTTTCGACCAAATAAAATTTCACACACACACACGCATACACGAACCCGTAGTATACTGCAGGAATGCACATCTTGGTGGAAAATAAGGTAGAATATTCTCTTTTTTCTAATTTGTGTACGTAATTCAATTCATAACTTTTGCATGCGAAAAAATGTTTTTGAACGAGCGTTAAGAACAAAATACTAGTCGGGTAAGGCGAAAATATATTCTGGTTTTGCGCGTGCGTTTGTTTTGTTTACATTGTAGTACAAATAAATGATTATTATTTACAATGAAATTTTATTTCAGAATTGAAAATGCATATATTTGTACCATGTCCTTTATTTCAGAGATTTGTATATTTTAGTGTAGGTGTATCGTAAAATGCTAAAAATAGTAATGATATAGGGGATCTATTTCATAGTGGGTGAAATAGGGTATTGTTTTCACGCGCGCGCTGGAAAATGTACGCGCTCTTTTAACGACACATAGATGCATTGTTTACATGTCAAGATTTTAAAAATTAATAAGAGCTAGAAATTCATGAATTTAACATCTTTGCGCTTGTTAATGATTTCTTTTTATATTCTAATGTTTTCCGCTAATATGATTTTGCATGCACTCGTTTATTTGTGTAAAATTGTACTTGTATATGTTTTGTAACAGTGTGATATGTTATATGATTGTTAAAAAAATTCTTTTTATGTTTATGTTATTTAAAACAATTAAGTGTTTTGATTATTTTTTTTAAAAAAAGAAAACGATTAACCCTTTTAAAAACATTAATAATAATTAAAGAATATGACAATTGACTATTATTATTTTTTAGATAATAAAATATGATGCTTAAATCTTTGCGATAAATAAATATAGGAACAAAAATCGTAGCGGTACGATGATAAGGTTAATGCCAGTTGCCACGAAAAAAAATAAACAATAAATAAAATGTTTAATTCGATTTATGTTTACGAAATCAGGTTTACTCTGCTTTTGTCATATTATTTTGTTGAGGACGATAAGAAGTGGATACTTAGAAGAAAAATATATGTGAAATTTGTATTTATAATAAGAAGTTATATTTTTATTGATTTCTTTTATATTCA